TTACTGGTGCGTGTAACAAGTCGTTTGGTGTAATATAGCTCTAGCTGCCGCCGCACCGCGTGCCTGCAAAGCTGGTGTGTTACGCTAAAGGCCGGTTATACCGACTATACTGATACAGAATCTGATACTTACCAACAGTTGGGTACTGTACTAATGAGTCATGACCAGTTGAGAATAGACTCCTAAAAATTCACCTTCACCTATATCTCAAAATAGGACCCTCATAGACTAACTGTCTCAAAGTCTTTCTCAGGCCGACAATTCAGTAACTCCTTAACTCCTCTCACTGGGCTTGAATAGAAGTCTGTGTGTATACTGAAGGAACAGTTGAGAAGTGTGGAGTTAAATGAGTCATGACCAGTTGAGAACAGACTTCCCAGAATAGGATTCTTCTAACACAACCTCAAACGTTTAAGATGTTTCACCTGGCTAAAATTTCCTCAGCTACTTACCTTGCTGAGGTCCTGAATGGAAATCTAATAGTGTGTGTACTAAAGGAACAGTTGAGAACTGTGGGGTTACCAAAATTCATGTAAATGAGTCATGACCAGTCGAGAATGGACTCCTAAAAATTCACCTTCACCTTTAGGCCACACTAATTTAATTTCTTGGTTAACGGATTTTTCTAGAAAAATAATGGAGCGGGCGAGCGAAAAAAAACAATAAAAAGAGAAACAGGCCTAGGCATCCTATTATGGCCAAAAATTGTACGATAGGTGCCATGAAGTCAACACACCTGGCTGGTTCAAAATTTAAACAATGAATTTTGAACTTTTAATAATACCACTTCATTGAAAGATGGAAGAACTATAACAAGGAAGAGAAGGACTGTTTTCAACTGTTCAGGGTAAAATATGAGCATTTTGCAGTTGATTCTGAAATTTTGTTTTGCAAATCAGAAAATGAAGCAGGCAAATCCGTTAACCAAGAAATTGAATTGGTGTGGCCTTATCTTTAAATAGGGTCCTTAAAAGACAACTTCAAAGACTTGAGGCCGACACTTGGGTTACTCCTTAACTACTGGTACTTTCTCTGGGCCTGAATAGAAGTCTATGTAGACTGAAGGAACAGTTGAGAAGTGTGGAGTTAAATGAGTCATGACCAGTTGAGAACAGACTCCCCATGACCCTGTCTTACCTTACAGGGTACTTCCCACCCCTAGGTCATGGGGGTCAGCTCTGAGTAGGTCTGTCACAGTCTGGAGGGAATGTCCAATATATGGTTCGGGGAAGGGCTGTTTTTTTCAGTCATAACTGTACCTACTTGTGTACAATTTTCATAGCTAGCATGCTAACTATGTTGGACGAGAAACGTAGAATTAAGGGTAGAAGTAGGCACGAAGAGGGTATTGTGAGCGAAAACTGTTTTTGTATATTTGGGTCACCCCCGTGAGGAAGAATGGTATGACCTGAAAGAAGATAGGGTTCTTGAAAAGGTGCACATGAGCATAGAGGCAGCACAAGTTTCAGGGACTCCAGAACATATCACAGGTGACTGCTCCTTTATTCATGCAAAATTAATCTTCTTTTCCCTTCAGTTGGTCTAAAATTAGCATCTTTATTAGGCGATAATCTTAGAGACGAAATGTCTTGTTGGAAGGGGACTAGATAGTGTAATTTCTAACCGAGACTTGCTTGGACTGGTTCTTTCTTTTGGCAGGTTGCGCCCATGTGGAAAGGATAGTGTGTGTCAGTGGCCTTGGCCAATTGTTCTGCTATACTGAGGAATTTTTTTGGTACACCTCAGATTATTTTTGTACCAATAGAGCTACTGTAAACTGATACATATGGTCAGTGAACAGCTCTGTTTAGCTGATAACATCCTTATTGTTGATTTAAGTGCGAGGAATAAAACGTTTAAGAATTTTGTTATCGTAATAACAATCTAAAGTATTTGTAACTACAGTACTTAGTAGGTTTATTGTTGGTAAAAGCCTGCTTAGATGGGTAATATTGCATCAGTATGGTGTTCTGCTGGCATAGATTTAACCCTTTTCTTGCTAAGGTAACCATTTGGCACCAGTTTTGTGTTCGACACTGGTAGGGCAGCAGGGAGTAGGTTAAAAGAAATTAACTTGTTTTTTTCCTCATTTACAATTGCAGTGTAACTTGCAATTCTCATTCCAGACATTTTTGATGGTAATTCTTCTAGTATCTCGATTGTCTGGAGATTCAAGGAACATTCAAAAGACTCGACAGTGATTTGCAAGTTACCTGCACAGGTGTACATGGCTTGAATAGCACAGGTGTGCAGGTATTATGGTGGAATACTCAGTACCGCTCGTGTTTTTGTAGGCATCACTACTCCAGAAACACAGGGGTACGATAAGGTGACCTAAATGCCAGCAAAGTGTTTGTACAAATAGCCATTCTGGTCTAAAACCAATTTGTTTAACACCTAACTATGGTAGGAGGGCGCTGTGCAAATATTTGGGTTTTCGATTGACCAGTGCTGATGACCATAGATCTGCTTTTATGAGTCTCCCCGCTTGTTGGTTTCTGATCTTACGTACTGAGCAAAGAAACTACAGTCAACAGTAAAGAAAATCTCACCCAGTAGGTGGCAGATCTTTTTGAAAACAAAGTCATTTTTTCGTTGTTTTTACGGAGATGTTTGGAAACGGCTTTTGAAGGAAAGAAAATAAGGGAGCAAAATGGCAGTTGAAACTGTGGTGAAAGGTAAACCACCGGTAGGTAAATAACAATATTTTCAAATGGTCAGCATGACCGTTTTCTTTCCGTTTGAAAATACAATTTTTACTTAAAAGTGGGGGAGGTTGTATGAAAATGTTTTCTGTCATACAAATGTAGAACGTCACTACCTTTTTTTGTCAATTTTCTGTGACGAAAATTTTTTCTTCTCTATTTTTCTGCCACAGATGATTTTCACTCACACCTTACCCTCGATGAAGCATTCTAGTTTTGGATCCCCTATGTCATTATGACAGGGGCTTGATAGGGTAAATTACACATACCTACTGGTCTATTTACTAACTGCTAAGCATACAGGATTTCCTACTAAAGAGCCCTACTAAGGAGCCTGGTCCTAGACCTGATTTACACGAAGGCCAAAGCCTCAGGTACTAAAAACTGAGTGTAGGAAAACTGTGTTCTTGACTTTCCCTGCATGTAAATCGGCCTGCTTTGCCATACTAGTACATAAAAAACGTACATGTACGCTCAGAGAGTATGAAAACTCTTGACGAATGTCAAACAGACGGATTTACGTACATGTAGGAAAGGTTTGCTACGAAGTTTTTGTATGCAAGATTCTCCTAGAGGCCTATACTTGTGCCTAGCTCTTAGCCGATTTAGAGCTTTACGTTTCCTGACAAAAATTGGCCACCCCTAACTTAGTCTGGCAAATTTTGCTGGCCTAAATCATTGGGATCGATACAAAATCAGAGATGGGATGGGTTAGAGTATTTTTGATTTCTCCTTTTTTGGGAGGAGGGCTTTGCAACTATAGGATAAAAGTTGTTCAGGAGTTTAACGTCTTTGAATGTTTTTGTTACTTTACATTTGAGGTGAATGTTTATTTTTTGTGCATCGGACCTTTTTCTTATTGGTACAAACATCCGGAACCGAGCCAGTTATGTGAAGTTTTGTGATAATAGGTTGTGTAATCCTAAAAGTTATGACCGGACACCACAAACAGTTGGTTACAATAAGGTCTTAACATCCTGTACGCCCTCCGGCATTTAAAACAATAAAACAGTAGCCGGAATCTATATATAGCTAGACCTTAACTGTAACAGGTAATGTATACCATTTCTTACTGTTACCCGTAGGTGGGGGTAGAGTATACAGTGATGTTTCTTTGCGTAGGAAGTTTTTGGAATGTCTACTTGGGTTGTTGCTGCGGTAAGGTAATCGTGTGGCCCGTGGCGCTTGTTCTCAGGTGTCCCTGCAGATTAACACGGGATACGAGAGAAACTACACGTGGTGACCCCTGCCCCCTCCCTCAAGGGGGGGGTCTCCCCCCCACCCTTATCTGAATGAAAACCTGCCCTGTAGTGTATTATCCCAATAATTCACCTCTAAGAATCTACCATTACAGGTCTTTGTATCATAATAACAGGTCTAAGTCTTGGTTAAACAACACCGCACACTTTCATGAAAGGGTATTTTTATTCCACCTGTATTTCTATTAAACACAGTCCTTACAGAATATCCCTAACTAGTACTAGTAGTAGGGTGGACTGTAGTGATATGGGCCATTGGGCATGACATTAAAGGTATACACTAACAACACAATAGGCTGTTATGTTTAAATGTTTGCTACCCCCCAGGCATAAGGTATAAACGACCACTTGTCTAGACACAGAGCGTGCCTAAACATTGCTGTTTTGCTTCTTTTAATTGAGACAAATGGGAGGTTTGTCATAAGTAAGCAGAGGACTGGACTAGAATTTGTTCATGTTGTGATAATCTTTGTGTAGGCAGTCCGGGGGTAGTATGATTGTTTTGTATCCTTTATCGTATTGCTTTCCATTGTATTGAATTACTCGTAATCACCCTATCCTTTCATAATCATATAAAGATGCTCTTGACCCCTTGAAGACCTTTTGGAATAGAATAGCCCTTGTTTGAATGCAGTATTACAGATACTAGTACCCACCTGTAGTCTGCATTTTGCAGACATTCTTTCAATGTTGCAGAAGAAAAATTAAGCAACCTGCATCAATGCAGACTGAAAAAATCAGGCTACTATATAAGGGGTTCAATGGTGTTTAAGAGTTTTTGTGTATACTACTAACTCATTATATATATAGTAATTTCACATGTACGTTTCAAATTGCATGTAAAATGTTTGCCAACATGCAATTTTGTAAATGCCATGGGTTTGGATCTGGACGTTTATAAGTGTGTATTTGAAGAAAGTATTTCCGAATTGTAGAACAAAATTTTGACATTCTGCAATATTGCAAAACACTTAAGTAACAATAAAAAAAGTATTTCTACCATTGGCCTGACATATGTTTTGCTTTGCTTTTTCAGATAATATATTGAGGTGCACCCCACCGTCACCATGAGAATACTGCCACTACTAGTCATCATCTGCACAGTCTTCGGTTCCCTGGTCGTGGACGCTCGGAACAAGAGACCGCGGGCGCCACGGTCGCGGTTACTCCCGATGATGCGCCACATGGAACGCGGCAGGCCGAATCGTTTCAAAACCAGGCCCAACATCGTGGTGTTTATTACTGATGATCAAGATGTAATGTTAAGTAAGTACCTGTTACTTTTGATACTGTCCGGGCTAAGGACAATTCTGAGTGTAACAATATATTGAAGTTTGTATGCTAAGCTCTTCACAACTTAATTTGCTAGCCAACATTTTGCTTTAAAGTTTAAGTCAGCATTCACTGATAATATCGTTCCAGCATTACACAAACTACATGTACAAATTATGCCATTATGTGACAGTTTTGGGTGTCTTGAGCTATGTAGGGAGCTAGCCTGTAAACTGGCCCTGGCAATAGTATTGCACCAAGGCAAATGGAAATTGATATCATCATAGAAATTGATATATAATGATGAAAATAGGTCAGTACCACACACACACACACACACACACACACACACACACAAACACGCACGCACACATGCGCACGCGCGCACACACACACACATACACACACACACACGCACTACACCCTCTCCCACACACACTCTCTTTCTCACTATCTGGTTTAGCATCTTTTGTTTCCAGTCCTCTGAGGGTTAGATGCTCCGGCACACTAATGCTGAGGCTTGATGGCAGCCCGTGATTTGCCTCTGTCCTGTGGATTGACGTAATGTACTCCGTGTTACAGATTCCATGGCTTACATGCCCAAGACACAGCGGATTCTCGCACAGGGCGGCGCGGTCTTCAACAACAGCTTCGTGACCACGCCCATGTGCTGTCCGTCGCGCAGCTCGATGCTGACGGGCAGATACGTGCACAACCACAACGTGTACACCAACAACGAGAACTGCTCCTCCCCCTACTGGCAGCGCACACACGAGCCATACACCTTCGCAACCTACCTCAGTAACGCAGGCTACAGAACAGGTGAGACAGGCTTTGACTGTGGTTTTGTATGTATCTTTATGTCATACCTGGGCCACGATTATGTTCGATACGGGTGTTCCGGCCCGTGTGATAACTAGCGGTACGGCCCGGGGGTTCTTTACGCGTACGGCCCGGGCCTTCCAAATGTTCCATAGAATGATTTGAACGCGTTTCGCCCTAACCGCGTGCGCGGCTTTCAAAAATTCGAATACAAAATTTTGATGTTTGAATTTTTTGGGTTTAGTGACACCAAATTTTTGCTCATTTCGCATTGAAAGGCGTGTTTCCTTGGGTGGGTATGACATAAATAAAATACAACACGGTGTATTCCGCATCACCCTCAGTCCCAGCCCTTCTGTGGATCGGATCTCCCTCCGGCCTTTGGCCGTTGGGCGATCCGACGCGCGGTCGGGCTGGAAACCTCGGGCGATACGGAATACCCCGTGTTGTATTCTATATGTATCTGTATAGCCGGTATAACTGCCCTAAAATCTGCATAACACACCACTTCTGTGACATTTGCGTTATGCTGATGACACATGTGACTCTGTGTTTTAGACAAAGTCCCCTTACTTGTAGCTAGTAACTTGTAGTTAGGGAACTTCATTGGAACTGCAGCATTTATTGTGAACGATGAGCTGAAAGAAACTTATAAGGTTGGGAAAAAATTTCCTTGAATCGATTTGATACTTTCCTCCTGAAAAAGCATCATGCATGCTTGAACGCCTCAAATGGGGATGTCAAAATGATAACGATGAAATCTGTAGAATTGAATCCCTTATTTAGAAACAAGCAACAAGTTTTGTGATCTTTTTCTTCACACACTTTGGGTGTTGTCCCTTTTGCTTTTCTTTTGTGTTTAGCGATGTCTGGAGCAAAACTGTGAGTGATAAAATCTGAGATCTAATCTTCAGTGCCCTAATCAGAAACTTCCTGTAAGCTGACCCCCCATAATGCCATAATGAGTTGAAATGATACCCTGGTAAGTGGTGGGCACACAGTGACAAATCTCTCCTCAAACATACTGTGTACTGGGGGATCACAGAGGGCCTGAAAACTTTCTTCTTTACAACTACAGTCAAATTTGTAACCTACATGTACATTGTACATTCAAATTTATCCACCAGGAAAGGAAAGGAAAGGTCTCCCATGCTTCTTATGCAGAGCGTAGGGTGGTGCCCATATCCATTTCTGTAGCCCTTGGGCGACACACAGTTGTGCAATGCACTACAGCAGGGGGCTGGTCCGCTGGTAGTGCTGTGTGTTTGACCTCCCCACACTTTTTCTCATATGTGCTGAGTACTATTAAGCAGAGAAAGAAGTGTGTACCATTTTTAAAGTCTTTGGTATGACCCGGCCGGGGTTTGAACTCACGACCTCCCGGTTACAAAGCGAGCACTCTACCAATTGAGCTATTCCACCAGGCTACATACAAATGTAACCAGCCATTTTGATAAACTGTGTGGAGCACCTTTCAATACTGTATGCACAGTATAGATTTGCCAGAGTGCATTATTGTATTAAAGATTAATATATATAGATGCATTTTTGCAGGGTAGTGGTTATATGTGACAGTGGCAGAATTTTGTTATAGCAGATGTGACAAGTGACTGTTCATCAACACATTCAGGTTAGAGTTAACTGTAATTTAAGATTTATAAGTCTTCTGTTTTTAGCCTGGTTTAGTTTACCCCCACTCCCACAGTCGCTATCTGGTTGGTCGGTAGCGACTGTGGGATTGGACGTAAACTACCCAGGATGGTACCCAGGCTATTCTCTTTTATCAAATCTGTCAAAGAAGACTTTGGAATTCCCTCCCTGACAAGTGTTTCCCACCAACCTACAATCTACAGGCTTTCAAGTCAAACGTTCACCGCCATCTCTTGACATAGCCATGTTTCTCTCATATTTTTAGTTCAATGCCGAGAAGTGGTCGCATAGGCCTTGCATTGAAACATTCCATTGAAAAAAAAATGTTGATGGAAGTGTCTTATTTTTTCGTCAGGCTACTTTGGAAAGTATCTCAACGAGTACAACGGGTCGTACGTGCCGCCCGGATGGCGGGAATGGGTGGGACAGATCCGGAACTCTCGCTTCTACAACTACAAAGTCAACCGCAACGGTCTGAAGTTCAAGCACGGGTTCAGCTACGAGAGAGACTATTTCACAGACTTGATAGCCAATGACAGCGCCTCGTTTTTCAAACTGTCGAAAAAGACGTTCCCGCACAGACCGGTGGCCATGGTGTTAGCGTTTCCTGCACCTCACGGTCCGGAGGACGGGGCTCCGCAGTACTCACATATGTTTGAAAATAATACTGACCACAGGTAAGCACTCTGAAGTTTGTTTAAAGTGTTAGGGTTTAAATGACACCAAACTACAACTTAGCACAAGTACATCTCGTGATTTACCGTATGTTCAACCATAAAACGGGTCTTCTACAACAAATGTATTATATTTGTATAAAACATACGCACTTCAGATGTTATATACGGGTATACAACATTATTATTGAACATTGAACGTTACAAAAATTATGTTTCCTGCCGCCATGTACTCAAATATGAAATCAGGTCCCTCTGACTCTCCTTGCAAATTATTACAATCTGTACCTCCGTAGGAAGGCCTTGTGGAGGCAGAAGTGATTTTTCCAGGCAAATGGAGTTTAATTATTATAGTAAAATGTTGAACTTTATTCCAACATAAGGGTTACACAGAGATCAAATTTAATGGAGTTTGAGTTGTGACTTGGTGTTTTCCCCTGCAGAATAAGTGGGTACAACAAGGCGCCCAACATGGACAAACACTGGATCCTGCGCTGGACCCAGCAGCTGGACGACACGCAGCTCGCCTTCACGGACATGCTGCAGCAGAAGAGACTGCAGACTCTGCAGTCAGTAGACGACGCAGTGGAAAAGGTAAGTCAAAGAGTAGTGCTGCGTACCGGTTCACTGGACTTGGATCCGGACTTGTAAGAATGTCTAGGTTCAAATAAAAAAAAACCTAAAAGTCAAGAACCGAGTCAGGACTTATTACCATAAAAGACCATTTCACATACCCCATTTCTTTCCAAACCAACTAAAACCTTCCATAGATTGCAAAATCTTTGCTGCAAAATGAAAAAAAAAGTTTCGGCCTCCATGTTATGTGGCCAAAGTTTCACCCAGACAACATTGCAAGGTTGCCAACATGCAATTTTGTATATGCCATGGGTTAAGGTCCGGACTTAAAAGTCTGGAACTGAACCTAAATCTCTGGACTTGAATCTGGACCTGAACCTAAAATTGGGTTTAGGTATTAAGCGCTATCAAAGAGCCTTTTTTTATTCAACAATGATACAAGGAAATGAAGACATTGTAACAGGGGCCATTCCCTTTGGCTTTTTTGGCTAGGGTGTGGTCCTTTGCAATTTTTTACAGGGATGTTTTTCCCCCCTGGATTTTCTGTGCTAGGGTTTACTCCCTAGGACTTCTGTGCTTGGGTGTCTTTCCTGGGTTTCTATGCAGGGTTTTCCTTCCCTGTGAATTGCAAATACTGAAACATAATATTGTCATAGTATGTATAGATACATACATGTGTACATAAATGTATTTTATATATGCTCTGGGTTTAGGACTTACAAGTCCGGAGCTGAAGAACCTAAACCTCTGGACTTGAATCCGGACCTGGACCTGAATGTAAGTTTTGGTAGCACACAGAACTAGGTGTGGCTGAGAAGTTTTAATCCTTTGTTGTGTGTTTCTTGTAGGTCTACAATATGCTGATAGAACAAGGCCAGTTAGAGAACACATACATGATCTACACCTCAGACCACGGATACCATCTGGGACAGTTTGGTCTGGTCAAGGGGAAGTCTTTCCCGTATGACTGGGACACTCGGGTACCGTACCTGATCCGTGGGCCTTCTGTACCCCCAAATACTGTGTAAGTACTATTCATGTTTACCGAAGGAAAACATATTGCTTTTGTTACGTTTCCTCTTCTTCTTCTGTTCCAAACACTGACCTCTGACCTGGCCAATGACCTGATTTGTTGACGTCTCTCACATAATGTTGCACTTTTATAGTAGGAGGGATTTATACTCGTCTGACCATATGTATGAATGTATTTGAGTAAGACCTATGCAAAGGTAAATATTATGCATTTGCTTTGCAAATGTTACCATGATTCTAGTTTACTGTAACAGTTGAAATTTTCTTCTTCCATCTTTTTACAATTTCTTTTGACGTAGCATAATCATTGGTATTCATAACCAAGTGGACTATATGCACTGTGTTCAATCTGTGAACTTTTTTTTGTGTCAGTCAATGGTAAGGGACCATGGTAAGGGACATAACAAGATTGTTGTGCTCTTGTTATTTTAACCCCTTACTTGACCTTGTATCAGTTATTGTTGTTCTTTTCTTGGGTGGAACCTATTATTACCTCAATTGTGAGCATCTCTTGCTGTAAGGGACGTTACAGTTACAATATTTTGCTGCTGTTATTTTAACCCCTGAACTTGACAGTGTAGCGGCATTGTTCCTGTTCGGCATCTGTCAGCACCTGGATCAGGTGACTGGCGGCAGACAGCTGCCCTGGCAGCTACATGACAGCTGTCGTCGGCTAGACTAGACCGCAAAAAAGGGCGGCAGCTAGGATAGATTAAGTCAGTAAACTGAAAACCTGAGCAAACATTTTTAGAAAGAATACTGAATGGTTGAATGTAGCCAAGTCAAAAACAAATGCAAAGAAAGTCAGCAGAGTTTGATTTCAATGATACATGCAGGCATACATTTAACACTATCAAAGATTTCGAAATGTTACCAATAGTTTGTTGTGGAGTTTGAAGTACAGTTAGTTTTTGGCGATGGCATCAGTAGTACATTTATTGCCACATGTAAAAGTAAGTTGTAAGAAGTGAATATCAAGACTCAAAAGATATTCTAAGGAATTTTAAGGTACATTTGTTGAAGAGGATTGGGAAAAAAACACCTCACGCATGTTAAAGAACCCACCACACTTATCGAAAAGAGTAGGGGTCCTTCCCAGTGTGAGTGGGGCAAACCTTACAGTCTGGTTTCGGGGTTAGCATCTTTGAAGAGGTGATAGTCACCTGTTATGTCAATCCTGCCACAAATGTGGTAAACCTTCATAAAGAAATAAATAAATACACTGAAAATACAATATGGGTTATGACAGCAGTGAAAAGTTTTACTGAAAACTGTTTCACTCTTAACAATCGTTGTCTAAGTCAGTACAAGGTGACGTGGTCATCTGAATTAAGGGAGAGGCAGACTAAGAAGGGAACCTGATACTGAATCAATGTTTTTAGGAAACAGTGTCTGTTTCCGATGTTGCAATGTGACCAAGCTTTAATCAATGGCCAGCCGACACTTTGCACTGAATGTATTTGCACAGTACTCTAAGTGGGGTTAGTGTTTATGTTTCTGCAAGCACTACCAATGACTATATTGGAAAAGGGTTTGCATGCCTTTTTGATATGTGACTCAAATAATTTTTGTAGTTTGAAATTGTCTATTCATTCTACTAAACAGTATCAGCTTCCCTGGAAGAAGGTCTCCAGTCTAGGGGTGGGTACCGGTTCAGCTGGACTGGTTTAAACCGGTTTAAACTGGAGCGACATTCGGGAACCGAGTCCAAAAAACCGAAACGCAAATACCGGATCTACCTGATGTACATTTCTGTCGATTGCACAGTCACACATCTTTAGATAATCTGGCCATGGCAGGTAAAGAAAATAACCCTGAATGAAACTAGATTGGCCTAAAACCATGTTTCACGGTCTCTTTCTGTAACTGTATTTGTGGCTTCAATATACATGGTACAACTTCAACATAATATTTAACACTAGTGAGTGACCTGTACTCGAGTTTCGCGCTCCAAAAAATTGTATAGTACTACTGTACAGTAATCAGGTCCAGGTTTAGGTCCGGACCTGGACCTGATCCTCTGAACCTGTTCCGGACCTGGAACTGAATTTTCTATATAGGTACATGTACCCACCCCTAGTGCAGTCCTTTGGTGGTTAAACTGTTGGCTGTTGTGCCCATCTTGTGTCGATTACTGGTTTAACAGTCCTAATGTGGTGGTGATGACAACTTCTGTGTTTGTGTTTTCCCTCCCTGAAACCCCAAACCAAAACTTCCCCACTCCCTTTGGACCCTTCTCAGTGGTGACTAACCTTCAAGTTAAACTACCTCAGCAGTTTTTAAAGTTATGAATAAAGAAATAAGGATACAATCTGGTATTACCGGGTATAAAAGAATGTACCGGTAAGAACGCATACAATGTACTTGTTTACCATTGAAAGTTATTCATATTGTCTTCCCTCAATGATTTACATGTATTTGTCAAACATCAATAAACAATTTGGTCCAACTGTTTTCCCAAAAGTCACAGAAAGAAGACTGATATTAACCTAGTTTAAGATGTCTTCCAGGTGATCAGCTGAGTCCTTCAGGTGTAGTTTATCTGTCTACAAGAGACATAAACTGAACATCAAGGTCACTGAAGGTGACGTTTAATGCAGGTCTTTACTTCAAGGTCATTGTGAACTGCTGCCCCCCTCCCATTGATTCTTTCCCATAATGCAACATCCCTGTCATCACGGACACATTGTAGGGAAAACTATCAACATGAAGGTCAGCAAAGGTCAACTGAAAACAGCCCCCCTCCCGCTCTGTAGGAAAGACATCAGACAAACTGTCAATAAACAAAGCAGAGGCGATGAGCTGGCTATATTGCAGGGAGTTGTGTAGAAAACAATTCTTACTACATATACAAGTGACCACCTCTACCTATAGACCACCTAGTCATTGTGGCCACCTTTTGATAGTCCCTTACCAGTACCATTGACTAAAGTATTAAAAAATCTGGCCTACAGTGACCACTAGTAAACTGTGACCTTTTAGAAAGTCCTTTAGATATAATTAGTTGCTTCGGTAGACAGGTTTGACTTCTTCTAAGGGGAGTAAAGTTTGAAGTTTAAAATTTGTAGGCCCAACTTCGAAAATTATTTCTTCATCATCTTTGCGTTAACTTTCTAACACGATGAGGAAAATCATTTTGTCAAGTGAAAATATTCCAGATGCTGAAGAGAAATCAGGCTGTACGTTTTGTGGGTCTCAATGCATGTATACTTTTTACTGAGAAAATGAACTTTCTCATGAATCCTGATGTAAGTTGGCGTATATATACATGTAATTACCTAAAAAGTAAATGTTTTCCCAAATTGAATGTTGACCTATATCTTTATTTATACAGTCAAATAAATGATACTGATAAGGTTGAAATCTTCATAAGTAAGCAGTCTGTCAGAATAAACACCTGGACCATTTCCGCTTCTGTTTAGGTAAAGTCTGCCGTCTTTGTTTTCATATATATTGTACGTTATAATTATCCTTTGAGTTTCATATTCCAACTATCATTAGGGAATTTCATAAATACCCAAGGCATTTTTGTAATGTTTAGGTAAAGTCTACTGCCTACCCCTTCAGGAGGGCCTGCATGGGGGGTTCCTGACAACGATCTACGCTAAATTTTGCAAGAGCCGGCTACGTATTACGCTGAATTCAAGAAGCCCCCCCATTACATTTGACGATAAATTCTGTGTAGCTACTACACATTACGTGGAATTAAAACGGTGAAGTACGCTATATGCAAAATGTGCCAATTACGCTCTACAAATATGCATTGAATTAGAGCCCTCTACGCTGTACGAAGAATTAAAATGGAGAATTACGCTCTATACAAAATGTGCCTATTGTGCTCTACAAATATACATTGAATTAGAGCCCTCTACTCTCTACGTAGAATTAAAATGGCTTATTACGCTCTATGGAAAAAGGCATGTGGTACCCCCTCCTGTTTTTCCTTCATTAGAATGATTTGGCTGACTACGTACACCTAGGGACCAACTGTATGCAAAATGTGCCAATTACGCTCTACAAATTTAGAATTTTAGAATTAGAGCCCTCTACGCTCTACGTAGAATTAAAATGGCTCTATGGAAAAAGGCATGCCGGGCCCCCTTCACTTTTTCCTTCATTAGAATGATTCGGTTGACTACGTACACCTAGGGACCAACTGATAGATATTCAGGCTCAGTGAACGTGAACTGGAGGTCAGGAACCGGCAGTGACCGGTTTATAAAGGGTGGATTGTGCTGGTGGGCGGTTTCGTGTGAACCCAGGGTAACTCAACCTTGGTAACTGCCGCAAATCCTGTTTGTACTAAACACTTAACGAGCTTTGTTAGGCCACACCAGTTCCAATTCTCCAGTCTTGGATTTGCCCACTTTTTTTCTGACTCGAAAAAATAAAACATGTAACATCCGTGTCCATAATATCACAAGGGTCCATAATATCGCCACCTTGAGAAATAGTGTGCTTAAAGATATTGTTACTGCAACATACTTTTGGTATGCACTCCTGCACACCTCAAATGTACATACCTAGGGTATGTTGCAGTAAAAATATCTTTAAGCACACTGTTTCTCAAGGTGGCGATATTATGGACCCTGGTGATATTATGGACACGGATGTTACAGTACAGTGTACCAAGTAGATTCTGAATCAACCTACATGTACAGTTGAAGAAAGCCCCTGTCTTCCTAGTTACAGTTTTTTAAAATCCATCAATAGATTGATTTGGTGGAAAGTTTAGACGTTCATTATTTGCACAAGGCATTTGATAGTCATATTTTTTTTGGTTTATTAAAGAAATATAAGAAACATTTAAAAGACATGTAGAGACACAAGCTTTCTATTCTTTTTTTCCACCATTGCACTTTTTTCCACCATTGCACTTTTTTTCCACCATTGCACTTTTTTCCAACATTGCACTTTTTTCCAACATTGCTCTGAACATTATGTGGTAAGAGTTAGTAAGTCATGTTAGTAAATGTAGTCTAAACCTCAGCTAATTAAATAATGTCAGTGAAAGTCCAAGTGACGAAGATGAATTCCCCGCTAACAAAGTAACTTACACAACGCCATTACAGTGTACAAGACTTCAAACAACAGACTTTTCAAGTGGATAAATACAGAGCCTGTTTTAACAGTCTTTAGCCAACTTAAATCCTGTCAAATAATTTAAGTTACTTAGGGTTTAACTCAGTCTGGTTGTCCTGACTAAGTTGACTGTTGAACTCGAATGCAAACAAGCCTGAAGAACTTTCAGTCCCTTTGTATAAACTACAAGGCTGTTCCTTTAAGTGCCTTTCCAGTCAAGAAAACAATGGCATCCTCCTTGAGTCAAACCGCTTCCTTCCTCCAATATTTGATTTCGTCTTGAAGACCTGTTTGGGTTAAGGAGGGAGTAACTCGCATTTGCGCTTGAGGCCGCACCAATTTAATTTGTAGCCTCTCAGCTTTTTTTCAGAAAAATTAGCCTCCATAGCATTTCAAAAACTGGGGGTTTTGGGGGTGTTCATGGTCTTTGGGAGCTTTTATGTGCTATTTTCTGATTGCATATAGATACCATAGCCGGCCTGGTTGAATTACCCCTGTTTTTAAAACTGGGCCAATCAAAAAACAGCCGAAGATCACCAAACCTCCAGTTCTTTAAGCCTGCTACGGTGGCTAAGAAAAAATATGGAAAGGGCAAAAAAATATTCTACGGCAGCCAACCTATCTCACCCATAGATTAAGTGTGATTGTTGTACAGTGAATGCACCAGTTTGTTTAGAATTATTTAAAAGTACCAAGTAACTAGATTTTGTTAAATGCGAATTGATATAGACCAGCGTTTTTGACAATGAAAAAAATTACTGCAATGATAAAATATACACATTTTAAGCAACTACATGAAGAGTGTTTTACACCAGTAAACGTGATCCAAAGAAAGTTAATAAAATGGAGATTGCAAATTTACTGCTTTGTTTTTCCTTCATTTTTTGACAAATACAAGAAATTTCCAAGAACAAAATGATTAAGTTGGTGTGGCCTAACAAAACATTTCAAGTTTGCCAGGAGGAAAAATCCTCCCCTCTAAGTTCTAGGACTTCTTGACCTTTCCAATGTACACACACCTGTAGGGTATATCCTGTGCTCAGGACCAAGACTTTGTCTTTGGAGAAAGTGTGGCTCAAAAAGTTAGGCACAACAGTAAACCTCTTTTAAGGCCACACCAATTTAATTTCTTGGTTAACGGATTCGCCTCTTCATTTTTTTCTGATTTGCAAATAAAAATAAAAATTCAGAATCAACTGCAAAATGCTCATATTTTGCCCTGAACAGTTGAAAACAGTCCTTTTCTTATTACTTGTTACAGTCATTCCATCTTTCAATGCAGTGCTACCATTAAAAGTTCAAAATTCATTGTTTAAATTTTGAACCAGCCTGGTGTGTTGACTTAATGGCACCTATCGTACCATTTTGGGCCATTTTGGATGCCTAGGCCTGTTTTTATTTTTATTTTTTTTTCGCCCGCCCGCTCCATTATTTTTCTAGAAAAATCCGTTAACCAAGAAATTAAATTGGTGTGGCCTAAAGGCATCCAATGCAATTTCAGGGAAGCAAAACAAAACAAGACTTTTGGAAATCTGTCTGATATTGACATTTACAGCCATTTCTAAGGACATTTTCTTCATCACTTCATACTTCAGGAATTTGAAAATTTAACCCCAAAACTAGCTATGTGAGGAGTCTCTTTATTTTTTGGTACCACCCATAAATAGCTAGAATCAGCCTACAAAAAACTGTTTTCAATCAGTGATATCATATTTTTGCCTCACAGATATCAGTATGCTATGGGATAGGGTTGATTCAACTTACAACATTAAAAGAATGACTAGAAACTTGACTTTAAAAATCTTCTTTTGCCGCCCTAAAATTGTATTGGATGCCTTTAATTAAGATCTTAACTTTAAGTGAGAACATTGTTGGCAAAGATATTAACAGATAATCATATTAATAAATGTAAATTAAATCATGGGGTGATGATACAAGCTCTCTGGTTACCAAGCTATCATCTTTTGTGATTTTACATGTATATAGTCCAATTGTTTTGGAAGGTTTTAGTTTGAGAGTCATCTGAGAAGCAAGGAGTGGTTGAATTGGCAACAATAGGCTCTTGAACTAGTCTGGTTTTGGGGCATAGATCAAACACCCAATCCAGCTGTGACATGATCTTGGTATGGTAGAAAAACGTCATTGTGTTGGTCTGTTCAACTGCCGGTGGCAAATGAGGGGTAGTTCCAAAAGTTCACTTGTTGCTTCAAAATGAAAAAAGAATTCTGAATAGTTTGATTGACATACATGTACATGCACATGTAGAGATAAGATGCCATACTTGGTAGTGCCAACATTCAAATTTTGTAGTTTTAATTTTTGTCCATCTAACAATTTTGTAGTTTTTAATAATATTTGACTATCTACAAATGTAACAATAAAGCTGTTATCCTCAATTTAGGTGAACCCCGATGCTTTTTCAAGTAGCTCAGATTTTCAGCCAAACACACTGGTTGCCTACAAAAACTTGCTTTCAAGACGTTTTGATAGCAACAAACACTTTTTGATCAACAAAATGGACTTTGGTAGGAACAAAAGAAGGGTTTTGCAATGATCCCTCCATAACAGTTAAAGTAAGGCCGCAATGTCTTTATGTCAACTTCTAACATTTGCAACTGTGTCTCTGCAACTCACTTTGAAGTGGTTACATCTCTAAGTTGTTTCCTTTCTGTATGATGTTTGTCCATGAACCGTGCAGAAAAAAAAGTAAGCCTTGTCTTGACATGACAGTTGGCAATGCAGAGACACAATGTCATTCTTTGTACTCAAGGGATTGTCAGGAAGTTTGGCATGTTTTCTCACAAGTCTGGTTGTTATGTGTGATGCCTGTAGGCTTCTTGAGGTGTGATATTGTGGCCTTTACAATGTTACTTTGTAGTGTTTAACTTTCACAAGTTACAACATTGTTCAAGTTAAAAATTCTTCAAACTCTGCAGTACTGTAATTCACTTTATGTTCTCATTAGCAAAAGTTCATGGTCTGAGAAAAATGGACATGTTCATGGAACTATATATTCACGGTGGCGACAGGTGCAGGAAAAAGAAAGTCCAGGAATTATTTGTTAACTGTAATAATTTCAGGGTACAGAAGTGACAGTGAAAACAGTGAACATACATTTGTAACAGTATAGTGAAAAAATCAGGAATTACAGTACCTCCAAGAATGGCTAGCCTGCCTCTCAGTATATTGAACCTTGACAAACTTGTAGTATGGACAGCAAGGATAACATGCTACACAATTTGCCACTAGGTACAAAAGTGACAAAGAATTACATACCCACCCTAGCATGTCAGTAGAACATACTGTATCTTTGTGAAACCTGGATGTTTGGTCAACATTGCACCAAAATGCTGCCCATTGGAGATAGTGCACAATGTACCTTTTTTGATACGCCATCAGTGTTTTCGCCAGGCGACCGTCCAGCCGTCCTTTGACGCTCTCTTCCCGCTGGGGACGGCCTGAGCCAGAAAGGAGACCGTCCTTTATCAACAATTATTTGCCTCTCGAAATGCGGGAAATAGCCTTTGAGAGCGTTATAAATTTCAAAATTTAGGACCACTGTAGTAAGTTCGCCGCTCCGCCCTCCATGGGACGGCCTTCGGGCGTTGGTCTGGCGGAAACACTGTACGCCATCCACCCATTTTTTTTTTCCATTCCAACATTTATTACAAGACATGGCGACGACACACTCAAGTTTTTTCAACACATATTTATACTGCCACCATATATATACACTCATTTTCACCTGAGTGAAGTGAGGAAATTCATGTAAAGTGCCTTTCCCAAGGGCACAAGATCGGTGACATGGCAGGATTCGAACTCGGGACCTCTTTGTTCTGAGCCAAATGCTCTGTCGTTACGCCACACAACTCCACACCTATCCATTTGTCAATTAATTTTTTGTTTTTCGTTATTCCCAGCATGCAACAGATTGTGCTGAACATTGACCTTGCGCCGACCTTGCTGGACATCGCGGGGGTGGACGTGCCCGCTCAGATGGACGGAAACTCCATCATGGCGCTGTTTGAGAACGCCAGCGACATCAAGTAAGTGCACTGGACATCACAGACAGGTTCTGTTCATTGTACTTCAGGGAGTCATCAATGGCAACTGAGTGAGTCATCAAAGGCCACACCAATTTAATTTGTTGGTTCTTGGATTTTGTCAGGAAAAATATGAAGCAACAGGGCAAAAAAAAAAAAAACAGGCCAAGGCACCCCATGTTAGCCGGAAATGTTACGATATAAGCCATGATGTCAACATACCAGGCTGGTTTATAATCAAAACAATAGATTTTGAACTTTCAATGAAACAAAAGTGCATTGTTACATTGAAAAACTTTAAGAACTAGGGAGAAAGGACTTTCTTCAACTGTTGGGGCCAAAATATGTCTTTCATTGAGCATTTTGTAGTTAATTTAGAACAACCAAAATTTTTCATTTTTTTGCAAATTAGAAAAAATGGACAGGGTGATCCGAGAAAGAACAAATTAAATAGGCATGGCCTGTGAAGATGTGAATGTCAAGAAGTATGTTTTTGTCAGCTCTCTTCAAAGATGAAATCCCAAATGCTTGATGAAACTGTAACTGAAGATTAGTCTGTTTTTTTTAAACTAGAGCAGCCAATGCAGCTGACCTCATACTGCTGTGCTTTTTTGTGCCTTTTTGATAGCAGATAGTACGAACCACTATGATGCAGCCTTGCTGCAGCTTTTACTTGTGTACATGTATGTGCCTGTGTATGTACAATGTATTTTGTGGCTTTCCAGTCTGTCTTGTGTCTGTTGCTGTTTGTTGCCAATAGTTATCTTGCTAATCAAGTCACCTACAAGTAGAGAGTCAACCATCATGGACTGCTACCAAGTGAAACACAGCACACCTTTAGAGACACAGCACCACATAGATGTAAAACAAAGACAGCAACATAATATTAAGGAGCATATTTTTGTCAGCTCTCTTCAAAAATGTTTCCAAATGCTTGATGAAAGAAAATACAAACATGTATAAAGCGCCAGACTTTAAAACATAGATAGTCCATTTGCTTGAATTCTACAACTGTTAGCTTTACGCAACAGGAGTGGAAGGTAGGTTTACACAATGTATGGAAAAGTAGATTTTGAAAGAAGATAGTTACATACAGTAAATAGTTACAAAATGTGCAATCATACATATACCTGTCCAGAAGTTGTTGGAACTGTTGTTTTTGATAAATCATAGATCATTTCCTGATGTGTACCTTATTCAGATGGTGATCCCTTATCCCAAAAACCATGGAGGTAGAAAAAGAGACCTCCATGCAAAAACAAAATATCCAAAATGTTCTCTGTCAAGAAGGAAAGTCCCTGTACGTTTTCTGTGCTTTCTGCTGTTGGCAAGCTTTCTAATATTGTTTCTCATGTCATTCCTTCTGTCTGTCCTCCCTGTCTCTTTCTCTCTCCCGGTCTGTCTATCTTTGCCCCTTTACTTTCCAGCTTTTCAAACATGTAAAGTTTTAAGTTTAATGTTGTACTGTTGGTTGGCAGGTAAGTCTTTATTGATATCTGTGACAACAATTTTTGGCAATGCCACAGGGCTGATGCACTTGCCTTGTGTTGTAATTGACTGATTTGAATAGCATCGTTTTACACTTGCATCTTTTTTGCAGCCCGATGCATTTCAGCTTTGCTTCTTGGTCCATCTGTCTCTCTCTCTACATCTGACATTTGCATGTTTGCCGTTTCTGAATTTGTGTGCATTTCACATGACCTAATCTGCATGTCTGTTGTCATGGAAACGCCCCTCTGTCACGAGCTACTTCGTTCTCTTGACAGGAAGGCGATGAAACGGCGCATCTGGAAATGCCGCTTGCAGATTCCAGCCCAATATTGGAGCATATGGTGACAGTAGAAAAACTCCCCATCCCAGACCCCCCTTTCACTCCTACATATGCCACGATCATTATAGAGCATTCTCTTCTTCACAACATTTCATTGTTGGGAAGAACAACTGTGTCTCTGCTGGCATGTAAATTATTTACAGCTTTTTATTGCTAGAAACAACATTATTACAAAATTATGGCATACAGTACATGAAAGAATAACTGGAGAAAGAATTGCCAAAGCAACCCTCTGACTTTCCTTGGAACAGATCACTTTTGTCTCTGCATTTACTTCTTTTTCTACCAAACTCTTCCAAACTTTAGTACCTTTCAACTGCAAAGGTATCCCTATTGAAGGTTAGACATCCAGGTAATACGATACGCCAAAAAGCACTTACTCAAGCAACTGGATATGATTTTGGAAACGGTCAGACGTTTCAGCTAGTATCCACTACCTTTCGTCAATCCCTTTTGATGTCTCAATACTTGGCTTTATAGTTAGGAAAATTATTCTTGATTTTAACAAAAACAAATGACACAAAATAGAATCCTGGCTTAACCTTCAGCCTGCAAAGGTGGCCATTTGGCATCAAATTTGTATTAGTTATAGGGTCAGGCATCAGTTTGACAGTTAAACAGACAAGCATACTGAAGCAGACAATATTTTTATTGCTTCATGTCATGACGATTCTACTATTCTTTACTCATGACTAATTGCTATTAATAGATTGTGCATGAAAAATTACTTACATAATTGCAATAAGGCAGATTCTGTGTTGAGATCATAATGATAAACAGGTTTTGATATTCTATTTTTCAGCAACAAGGCAGGAAACAAGAAGAAAAAGATGTGGAGGGATACCTTTCTTCTGGAAAGAGGGTAAGTTTCCATCAATGAAGAATGGCAGATATTCTAGTCTAGTCACTACTTATATCTGATTGCCTTGTCATACAAAACATTTGACTGACAGATAGTAGAGTGGGTGGTCCAGTGATTAGTGACTGGATCTAGAGTTTGGGAGTTCGAATCCCGGCTGTTGTCACTCACCCAACATGCATGCTACTGGAAAGGGTCACAGTCCTTAGGACAGGATGTTAAGTTGTGGTCATTCTGCTTGTCAGAAAGATCTAGGGATATTTCCCCATTATAATGAGCTTGTAAGTACTGTACATACATGTAGCATCTGTCTTCTCTGTTACAACCAGGGGAAGATTTTATATTCAATTTGAAAGTTCATCTGTGTTGGTAGAAGTCATTTTGAAATAAGTTTGAACTGCAATTGCCAACACAACTTACCCAAATTTTTGACTGTACAACTCCAGTCTTTATCAAGATAACACACGTGACTCCATGAGCAGTGGATCATAGGTTGCAGAAAGTCTGTGGCGCCCCCCGTCTCTGTGAAGATTGTCTTTTCAGTGAGCTAAACTGAGTTCCTCCCTTGTTGTTTCACAGAAAGATTCCCAAGAAGATGGACCGAACCATTCTAAGGATGAACGAGAAGCTGCCCAAGGAGGTGCTGCTGTCTATTGAGTGTCAGAAGGAGGATTATCAGTCTCCCTGCAAGCCTGGCCAGGTCACCCCTCTTTTTAGTTGGAATAGTCCATCACTACTACTTAATCTACTGTACAGTCACAGTATAGAACAGCCATGAATGCTGTTATTCTTAATCTAGCCTGCATACAATTGTCTATAACAGAATGGTCATAAATGATTTTGGAACACAGGGCATTAAATGTCAATCTTGTTTCTTATTTCTTTACTGGAAGTTCTTAGATGACTTTTTGTTAAATCTTTTTCAATGTGAAATACGGTGTGCTGTACCAGAAAACGTTAGCACAAGAAAATCTTGTTAATCTAAATTTTACAACTTTTACAAGGTTGGCAATGTAAAACTAAAAGACATTACCATGGCAATAGTGGCAGTATAGTATTGTGAGCAGTCTGCAAGAATTCTAGGATTGTTGTAGAATTATTGCAGACGACACACAATACTATGCCATTAGGCTCGTCCCTGTGGCATTGCCAAAAAATCCACCAAAGCATCACCAGAAGATATTATTATTTCTAACTTCAGTGTTGATTTGTCCATGTCCTTTTAGGCCTGGGAGTGTATTGAGAGGGGCGGTATGCTGAGGATGAAGAAGTGCAAGTTCAAGAAGCGCCCGGGAAGACACTGCGTCTGTCGGAAGAAGGTGCCAACCGTCCCAAGAGACGAGAGAAGAAGCCAGCGCAACTTCTTGAAGGACCATGCAACTCAAGGTAGAGGTACCTGCCTGAGCTCTTACTTACATAGCTAGGGTTTGGTGTGATTAACATGTTTGGTGTTAACGTCAACTTTCTTGATTCTGCTGGGTACCTTAAGAAATTAAAAATGGTTATGAAGATTGTCTTGAAGTTGAACATTTCAATACCTTATATACATACCACAGGATTTTCTGATGCTGCATTTTAGCAGATCTATTTAAATTCACCTTTTCTTATAAATATTATATTAAGCAGTTGTCTTTTGGTATCCAGCAGAATTATGAGAGTTGGTGTGAAAATGTTTTTTAGTCTTAGCCAGGGTCAATAACAGCATTTTTAATGTCATCTTTTGATGAAATTTTTGTTCCATGTGATGGAAGAAATTGTGGCCATCTTGACCCTTAGAATTATAAAAGGGATTAAAATCAAGTCAAATCCTGACAGAAGGCAAGAGTTTGCAGTTGAAATGTTGAGATGACAATGAAATATTTTGCTGTCTAGGACCTTGGTTTGAGCTATTTGAAGTAGTGAATTTGGTTATTGTGCAGTGTTTTGCTTGCATTTGCCAATATGATTGTCTTCGTGTGCCATCAATTTTTGAGGGCCTGCATCCCCTTTTTTGTAAGGCGTAATCAGGCCTTTTTAGTCTTCATAATCCGCAGGCAACCTCCCAAAAATTCAACGTAATTCATAATCGTACATTAGCCACAAATTGTAAATTTGTAATCAGCTCTAAGACTTAATTCGTCATTGGCGGCAAAAATTTTGCGTAATTCGTAATCACTACCCCCCCCATGCAGGCCCTCATTTTTGAGAGGTGCTGTGAAAAGCATTACAGGTGCTTCTTTGCATTTTAAGTGGAAAAACATGATTCTGTCTTGTATAAAAGTGTTTTTGGATCCTTGTCCTTCCAGATTTCCGTTTCCGATTCATACGCAGCGCAGAAGTCGCGGAGGACCAACACCCTGACTCTGAGAACCCCGGGTACAAGAGCATCCTCAAACGCGCAGCCAACCCCGGGAAGGATTGGGCCGATCCATTCTCGTTTCCACAAGGGGACCAGTCTTTCCCCAAGTGTTTCCTGTTTCCCAACAACACGGTGAAATGTGACAACGTCATTTACGAGTCCTACGATGCCTGGAAACAACAAAAGCAGTCCTTGGATGCACAGGTAGTTATCATAGCCTAATTATATACATGTATGATCATGTAAGTTACAAAGACCATCAAGGGACCAGTAATGTATCTGTATCTGTATCTATCGGTATAGCCGGTATAACCACCCTTTGGAGTAACACACCAATGTAAAATCATTATGGATGTTTGATTTAAAAGTTTAAAATTCAACATTTTTAGTCAGTGTAGAAGTATGCTCAAAGGTTCTCTTTTGTTTTGTTTCTCTCATTTCACAGATAGCACGCCTGAAGGGTAAACTTGATGGACTCAAGGACATCCGCGGCCACCTGAGGAAAACCAAACCTTTAGATGGGGAGGAGGGAGAGGAGGAGGAGGAGTCCTACATCCCCATCTACCCGGGGGTCGGGGATTACGAGGAGGGGGATGAGGAAGAAGAGGAGGAGGAGGAGGAGGAGGATTGTGTGTGTGGGGAGGACGAGGAAGTGGTGTATGTGGATGGGGATGGTGTGGAGCAGGACAGACCATTCTACTCTAGCGGGTAGGTCAGGGGTTGCCCAGTACTGAATAGAATAGAATGGAAATAGAATAGAATAGAATAGAATAGAATAGAATAGAATAGAATAGAACAGAAGAGGAATGGAATGGAATAGAATTATGGAATAGAATTATAGAATAGAATAGGGGTTGGAAAACTACATGTACAGGAGTTAGCTCCCTTTGCAATACTACCAATTTCTTTTATTTAATTAAGATAAATAAATACCAATTTCTCCAGGCATGTTTAATGTCTTCTGGCCTCTATTGTGAATCAAAAAAAATTGTTATAGGGGCTACCCAGATGTTTTGTGCTTAACGTGTATATAGTTAAATAGACAGGCTCAAACAGTCCCCTATACTTTTGTTGTCTCTAATATGAATGTCTCTGTCTTGTCCCAGACGCAGGAGGTACGCGGCTCCCCGGGACAGAGAGAGAAGATCGAGAGAGCGAGTGAGAGAGCGGGCGGGCGCTCGAGGCAGCAGCCGTCGACAGAAGCTGACACGTCCTCCCAACCCTCATCCACAGGGAGAACACCCCATGAAGTAAGCACCTCAGATTGGTCTTAAATTCTTTATCTTGCAACACCCCTCTGTTGGAGTAAGATGCACAGGGGGGGGGGGCTGTATCGTTATTGTTTCCTCACGTGCAGGAGTATGGCTTCCTTGAAGTTGTTAGATTTGGTGAGTTCAGTTATATCCTGAGGAAGCGCATTCCAATCTCTGACTGTCTGAGGAAAATAGCAGTATCTGTTAAGCAGTCTTTATGAAATGGTAGAGATTTCTTGTAGGAATTGCCATTGGAGCGGTGTAGGAATAAGATGAGTTTCGACTGGCAGGGCTGCTTTGTGTTGTCTTGCTTTCTGTAAACAGATTCTCAGTAAACAAAACATGTTCTTCCTCGCTGTATGGTGTGTGGGGCAGCACCCATCTTTGTTTCTTTAGCACTTGTGTCACACTGTTGTGCAAGCACAGAAAATACTGCATCAGGGGCTAGTTCTCTGGTAAACTGTGTGTTCAACTTCCATGATACTAGTATTTTTATGTACAATGGGTACACATATACATGTAGGGCAGCCCCCATCTCCATTGCTTAGCCTTTGGACCACTCTACATCATCATTGTTACATGTATGTTAGGCAGTTTGCCTAGACTAAAGCTATTCTTCTCCAAGGTTCTTTATCTTTCAACAATAAATTTCAACAACAGGAGCTAACTCACTTGTAGCACTAAGTATGTTCAATTCTCATTTCAAAGTGTTGAGTGCTAGCAGAGAAGCAGAAAAAAACGTCTTCCTTAGCAATGCAATGCAATTAGCATGGGAAGCCATCTTATCGTAATCCAATACAAAACTTGTTCCACTTCAAGTCATACCATTTTTTATATCTTTGGTATGACTCAGTCGGAAATCAAACCTATGACGTAATCCATGCAAAGCAGGCACTGCATCCATCTACCCTACTTGTGGCTATAACTTTGATTGACAGCTGTCATTGTGATTGACAGGGCCATCAGAGAAGGCATCAAGAGCATCAAGAAGGTGACTCCAGAGGAGCGGGAGGAGCGTCAGAAGAAGAAGGAGAGGAAACAGATCCGGCGTCTGAAGATGGGGAACTGTAACCTGGAGGGACTGAACTGTTTCGAACATGACAACAACCACTGGACTGTTGCACCCTTCTGGACAAGTAGGTGTTATTATAGAGAATATTATGTTTACCAAAGGAAAACATTTTGTTTTTGCTCAGTTTCCTCTTCTTTCGTTCCAAACGCTGACCTCTGACCCAGACTATCTGTCACCATGGCCACCGGTGTTGGGTTACATCATGTTGCAATTTTATAGTAGAAGGGATTTAGACTCCTGTCAGCATATATGTGAATGTGTTTGAGTAAGAATTAACAGAGCAGACTATATGCGAAGGTAAACATTATGCATTTGCTTTGCAAATGTTACCTTTCTAGTATATCCTTTTTTTCCTGTTTTTTTCTTTTTTTCAGGCATCACTCGCTCATATAAAGGAAAACATAAAAATACAATGCAACAACAATAGTTAAAAAATACATCTATGTCGATATTATGTATTGAGTACACACAGGCCCAGAATCTGTTGCAAAATATTACTTCAGATTTGAGAACAGATTGGATAATGTTGTTTGGGGAGTTGTACTGACGGGATATGAAAGAATAGCATTGTTTGCCATGTAGCGTCAAATGTGTCTGTCCTATTGTAAACAAGCATATCACTGGTACTGCAAAATCTGGGTAAATGACATTATAATGCGAAAACAATGGTACCTGTTCCTTTTTTCAGAGGGGAGCTTCTGTGCTTGTATCAACTCCAACAACAACACCTACTGGTGCTTACGAACCATCAACGCTACACACAACTTCATGTACTGTGAGTTCATCACGGGATTTGTGGAGTACTTTGATGTCCTAGAAGACCCTTATATGGTAAGAGTCTTTGTAAGAGAACACTCTTGATGAACACTCACTGTTTGTCTTAGACAGTATGTCAAAGACGTTGTCAATAATGATCGTGGATATTTGTGTTAATGCCTGTATTAATACCTATGTAAATAAATGTGTAATGAATTTGCACGTAAAATTGGACGTAATTCAGCCCTTGGCTGCAAAGTCCAGGTTTTTTTTAATGAATAAAACACCATTTGATTTGATTTGATTTGATTTAAGAGTACAACAAAAAAACAACAACAAGTAGCCATTGATGAAAAGTAATGGATGCTTTTTGAAACCAGTTTCTTTAGTAACTGTTTTCTTGTGTAACTCATTACCTGGATGTCTTACCGTCATTGGAATATAAAAACATACCAATTTATCATGTACATCATTACCACCCACAACAATGACCTGGGCCAGAGGGCTGTCACCATGGTAACTGGTGCTGTAGCAGACACCTTGTGGTGTTGGATTACATTGTGTAGCAAGTGAGGACAGACAAAGAGGGGCTGGTCACCATGTACATGTGTACATATGAAATAAACAGAGCAGACTGAAGATTATGTGAAGGTAAACATTATGTTTTGCAAATGTTACCTTTCTAGTTTATATTACGTTATGTTGAATTGCTTTACCAACCTGATGAAACTGTTTACTTTTCTCCAGTTACACAATAACATCCACCGAGTGTCAGAACCCATGCTGGCCCAGCTACACGACCAGCTGGTCATCCTCAGACGGTGTGAGGGCTCGAAGGAGTGCACACCCCGACCTCAGAACCCCAACATGAGAAATAGACATCGTAAGTAACACTTAACCTTCAGCCTGCTAAGGTAGCTGTTTGGCACCAAATTTGTATTGGTTACTGGATTAGGCAGCAGGGAGAACTGATGGTCAAAGTTTAATTACAAATTGTTATCAAAGGACTTGTGCTTTTTAGGCTGTGTACACCACACCAACTTATGGGTTCTTGGTCATTTTCAAAAGAAAATAAAGCAAGTAAGCATACAATGTCATGTAGTTAAAGCAGACTAAAACTTGAATTTGAGTCACTCTGTATTTACTCCATAAAATTCAACTAAGGCATAAACCTCAGGCTTTGTTTTCTTGATGTTTCTCTAGCTGACATTGTTATTTGAAGATCCTAGGCCTAAGAAATTAAATTGGTGTGGCCTAATATTGTGATTTGATGTTGGTCCTCAGTCATATTTTGATGTGATGTGATACAAAAGATGAACCATAGGATGTTGTGCAAGTAATTCCACATTTTTGTAACTGTTCAGTCAGATCCTCTGACCAGGAATCTTGATTATTTAGACCCTTCCAACGTCAGGAGGCTGTTCTAACTGTTGGGCTTAGTGGTTTCTGGTTTGATTCCCGGTATTACACCTTTACCTTTAGCACCACTATCCTTCATTCTACTTTGAGCACCAATGTTGTTCTCTGCAATTTAGTTAAAAAGAACGTCTCTTTGAGTTTGTTTCTCTACAAGTTTGCTAGTCAGGGAACTAGACAGAAGGACAGAAGCTCCCTTTTTAAAAATTTTCTACACTCAATGTGCACGGTTTCCTTTCACATCTCCAGTAGATGTATGGCTTTGTCTTTGCTGTATTTGTAGTGGTGCATGTTTTCCCCACCTTTTCAAACAGAAAAAAAATGCACCACTTGAAAGATAGAGGTATACAGAATACAATAAAATAACGTACAAACCAAGAAACCAAAGATGCGATTCCTTGGAGTCCATGAAATTTTGTGAATTTCTTCATTGTCATGAATTTCTCCCTGATTCTGTCCATGCATTTTCCCACTGCCTGTCATAAGGCAACAGACATCCATAATACATGCATGTTCCTTTTATTGGAAATAACTACTCAAACACACAAACAGAGATGACTGAAACAATACCTCCATACACGGAGGTAACAAGTCAAAGCCATATGTCTAGTTAGAACTTACTCTACCTTAAGCCACCCTTTCTTGAAGATTCTTTCCTCCGTTCCTTATGTGTTGTGACTATCTCTCCACCAGGAAGGAGACACGGAAAAGACATCAGGGACCAAAGGTAGTGTTTCCATGGCAACGCATGCCTGCTGTTACCACGGCAACTGACGTACGCAATCCGGGTGACAAACAACCTCTCATACCGACTATGTTTTCTCCCCTAGTCGCCTAGATGCATGGCTGATGCTTGACCTCTGACATGGCTTGACCCTTGCCCTCTTGCAGTGATTTGATTGGTCATGTTTTTTCTTCCTGCATGCTGATTGGTTCATTCACTCTTGCACTAATTATTCTGGCTCAGCAACATTTGGAAAGTTTGGACTAAACCTGTGTAATACAGAATTAATCAAGAAATTGGATAAATCCTATGAAAACTCGCTATCTTTCATCAGTGACTTACGTACATTGTATATTTAAAAGTTTCAGTCACTGACGAAAGGCTGTGGATGCTATCTGAAACATCATTCTGACTCTTCAAAGAATTTATCCAGTTTCTTGATCTATTTTGTATTATGTAATATTCTACGTGGATGTTTAACCTTCATTGACATTTGGACTTGATAATATCCATTCTTTAGATGGAGAATTTTTTTACTACGCTTTGCAACTTTTAGTTTTCCCCTTTATTCTGATTTGTCTCTATCCCAATCATCCTAACAGACCTTGAGGTCTGTTTTTGAGATGACATTCACCCCAACCCATGCTTTATTTAACTATGAGTGTGGTGGACTGGGTCGGAGTGAATTTGCTGCTAACACTTCCATGGCTCATCACAGAGCTTAACAGTTTTGCATTTTACCAAAAAGGCAATGTGCCAGCTTAACTTCTAAGAAATAAAGTCTAACCTTTACATGTAGATGTTCTTGTCTGCTTTTTCTTGACTGGTTACAGATTTTGGGTGTCAAAATTGTTAAAATTTAGTATCATACACATAACATTTTTAACAACTAAACTAAATTTTGATTGTTTGCCAATCTTTGTAACTGTTTACTATAGTAGCTTACTTCTTAACTGAATCTCATTTTAAATTTCTCTTTTCATATATAGAAGAACAAAGTGGAGAGGGTGGAGAGGTTAAAGGATCAGAGGTCAAAGGTAAAAGTTCAAAGGACAGCAGACATCACCAACCCGGAGATGACCCAACTGAAGGAAGCGGATCGCATTTTCTTGGCAACCATTCAGAGGAAGATGGATCAGGGTTTCTGTAACTCTCTGAACTTTGAACCCTGACCTTTGGCACATCTTTTGAATTTGACCTTTGCCCCTTGACCTTGCCATAGCTAGCTCAGAAGCCCTTGACTTTTTAACTGTTGCATTTGTTATTAGTTTGTCTCCCCTACATTAACTCAAAGTACTTCCAGGGAGCTGAGTAAATAGTTTAAACAATTTATTGGGGGTATTTTTTGTCTAGGCAAGAAGGAAAACTAAAAATTAGGTTTAAGTTTTTCTGTGCTGAATTCTTGCCTTTGTTAGGACACATTCCAGGTTAAGAGCCCTGGAAGTTTTGACTGAATAGCGTGCAATTTCTGAAGACAAACACTTTTGGAGATCATTATAGATAGCTTTCAAAAATGGCCACCCGAATCATTAGTCTAAGAATGAAATAGCCCATAAAAGATCTTAAAGAGGATGGATATACTCATAAGAAGACCTCAGCACTGTTTAAGTTATTATTTCCCTGCTCAATATTGAAGATTTTCCCATTTATCATAGAACTACTTGTATGTTGTGGTATGACAGCAGTAATTATGAAGGTGTACATAGTGATAAACTCTACATTTTGTAAAAGCATAGGAAGCAGCAAAGAGTTTTTAAGATATTGTTTGTTATAATCTACAGTAGCTCCCATGGCTTGTCTAACTTGGCTGATTTGTATGTGTTAAGAATGCAATTTTTTTTGTACACAAAAGATTTTTTTTTACATGCTTCTAAAATTTTATGATTGACATTTATGAGTAAGGTAGGAATTTTGTTACTGTTTCAGTGTTGTCTGTTGTTTTTCAGTTAGGCCACACCAATTTAATTTTTTGTTTCTCAGATTTTTCAGAAAAAATATGAAGCGATGGCGCGAAAAAAAAAAAAAAACAGGCCAAGGCACCCCATGATAGCCGGAGCCAAAATATGTCTTTTATTGAGCATTTTGCAGTTAATTCAGAACCTAAATTTTTTTTTTTTAAATCAGAAAAAAATGGACAGGGCGAATCCAAGAAGCAACAAATTAAATTAGTGTGGCCTTACATGAGAAGTAAGTTTTCTATTTAGAGGAAGAGTTTTTAATCAGTTTATTAGTTACCTGGTTGGTGTGAAGTCGCTTTCTTTACGAAAAGGTGAAACTATTGACAAAGCGTTTTCATTCATTCAAAGTGTTAAGGGAGAAGGTTGAACGGATAAACTGTCAAATTTACCAAAACAGTCAATTGGAAACAATTTCAAAAACTTTCAGAAGAATCCAGGTGCAGTATCATACATTGTAAAATCTTGACAATTAGTGAAACCAGAATTTAATGCAAAGAATACGTAGAGATAATGTTGATGTCTTAATTAAAAAATCATGAGATTAGACAATAAAATTTGAATATGGATCCTCCTGGGAGGGTTACTAAAAATAGAGGAAATCTTTGACTGTCCACTACTTGTATATGATAGGGAGGGATGGAAAACACTCACCTCTACAGAGCAGATAGGTATTGTATGTAAGACAAGGTGCTCCAACCAAAAAATAGAAGCCCCCTCTTGCTAGAAATATTAGAAGTATATGTAGTCCCTGTTTTGTAATCCAGTGCTACACGATCTCTTGCAGTCAAGCCTAAGGAAAAAATGTTGTGTTCCCTGTTTCTGAAGGACCCTAGAAAAGAACTGCTGACTTTTTTGTGTGTACCCCTTCAAGGGACAAATTTTTTCGAGCTGATAGACCGTTTCTAGCTCCATGACCTGACACCTGAGTGTACAATCAGTTTTCCAACATTGACATTGAAAATATAGAAGTGTCCTCATGCAAGTTTTACTTTGATAAACTGTATTGTGTAAGTTGGATCACCAGAGATCGCAAAAAAAAAGAAGAAAAAAGATAATCCCTACCTACAGACCCTAATTTTTTCAGGACTGAAACAGGAAACACAGCATTTTTTTTCCTTAGGCCCAGGAGCTGATTGGGCCTTCTCAGTGGATGGAAGGGCTGCTAGAAGCATGATGTAGTCAGACTCCTTTTCTTGTATGTGCTGCAGTTGTACTGTGTACTTGAAGTATGTACATGTTGTACATGTGGTGCCCAAGAAGTTGCCTATCTAGTACATTGCTAGATCTGGACCAACACAGAGTGTTGCTACAAAAACTTTCCATTATACATTGTGTGTAAAAACAGGCACTTTAGGAAAAGCAAAACCACACAAACATAGGCCCTTTTGAGTTTGAGACAATTCGACAAGACATGCCTATGAAAAACTGAGACGTGCGAACAGTGTGAATTATAAAAAAAAAAGTATAAATTATTCCTTCTTGTTTTTTTTTTCTAAATACAACTTATCCCGAAATTGCCCCCCCCTTTTTTACAATACTGGCAGACAGTGAAATTGTGGTAATTGTCATGTAACCTCAAAGACAGCATTAAAATATCAACAAGAAGGCTTAGTTCTTGTACCTTGTACAGGAAAACAAAACCCCATGTAATCGGAAGACCCAAAACTGAAACAAACAAGATTAAAGGACAAACAACTAGATAAAGTAGAGGTGTACATGTAAGATAATACAGAGTTGAAGACGTTGTGGGGAAAAACCATTTCACTGCGCAAGTTTCCTGATAGGAAAAATCTGCTTCTAGTGGAAGCGAGCTCCTTTCCTTCCCCTGATCATTAATGAATTGTCCCCTGGGACTCCATACCTCCTTAACCTTCACACTATCAAGAGTTCCTCCATGTGTCAGATTTACAAAATGTATACAACTTACAATATAAGCCTGCATTTAGAGGGTTAATTAAAAAAATGTACTTGTACATGTTCAGGCATTGCCAGTATGGAGAAAGTGGCAGATTTGAATGTAAATATTGATAATATATTATGTAGTAATGCAGTTTTAATGTCATTGACAAAAAGCCCTATAGTTTCAACACATTTTGCCTTTTAGACCATTGTATGCATGAAGTGTTATGAACTGTAGGACTCCACAACATACTTATACATCACTTTATTTTTGTAAACTTGAGACAAAGATAGGAAACCGTGTAATGCTTCATGAAACATTCTTTGAAGATGTTGTAACTAACTTAAGAAAACCTGGTGTAGTGTTACGTGTCTGTGTTAGGCTCTAGGATGTTTCAATGTCTTGACTGTATGACTCTCAGTGTTGAACAGATTTTAACACATAGAAACATGGTTATTGTCAAGTTGTGGATAGGTGAATCTAGTTTTGGGGGGCGGTTTTTTGACTGCTGATTCTTTTACAATTATCTGGTGCTTTAAAATCTGACCAAGCCAACTTTGTATGAAGAAAAAGTTATCATGACATGTATTCATCAATATTTTACCAAAATGGCTGAAAGCAAAAGATTTTGTTTGGAAAAAATCTGAGTCCACTATGGAGGCAAGTTGATATGCTCTCCTAAAATGATTTTTGTTATAATCATACCCACTAAATGTGACTGGTAAACTGTTATGATTTATGACTTTATACTAATTTTATTACCATGGCAATTCTTTGGTACAGACACATCACTCAACCTAGCCTGGGTGCCATCATAGCTAGTTTACCAGTATAAATGAACTATTATTGCATCCAGGCTACATTCAAAACAGTTCCTGAACCAGCTTGTTATATTCGTACACCCTCCAGCTTAATTTGGTCCATCCTCTTGCACGAGGCCAACCTATTGTCTATATCAAGCGTCAGCTTTGGCATTCTGGCTTACGATCTGTATTTCTCTCTGAGGTAGCCCTGAGCATCCATCAGCCAATCAGATACCCTCCCTCCTGTTGTTGGAGGCAAAGTTACCAGCCAATCACCTTGCCTCTTTTCAGTAGGTGGCATTGTGATTGGCTGGTGATGTCTGGCCTGTGATTGGCTGGTGATGTCTGGTCTGTGATTGGCTGGAGATGGTTGGCCTGTTCTAACACAGAGAGAAGGACAGCAGATCCCAGGCTGGTGCAGTTGGGTTATTGCTTGATATCTACACACGTCAAGCGCTGTGAGGATGTATTTGGTCATATCATTGAGGATACAGCCCACCACCCGCCATGTACATAGCAGGGTTCCCTGGATATGTCTGCTGTATGTATACACTGTAGAAGAGAGTCTTGTTGGTGCTTGCTGCTATAATATATTGTGTACATGTTCACCACTAACTTGGTTGTACAGACGACTCGGTAACTCGTGCAACGGACTTGTGAACTCTGACATTAAATCTAAATGTTCAAACTGAAATTAATGCGTGTTGTCTTTACTTCTTGTCTGTGTATGGTACAGGTAATCTGATTGGTCCTTTGTCTATTTACCATCATGCATGGTACAAGTGATATGGTTGGTTCATCATAAGGCACTAGAAAAAGTCATGGCAAGATGTTAATTAAGACAAAATGACCCAATAAATTTACAAAAAGTAAATAAGGGACCAGCTAATGCTACCTTCCATCATGTACATTTGAAAATGAAATAATTCTACTAGGATTTAGGCCCATTTTCAATGTAAGTTAGGCATATATTACATGGTGCACATGTGACTTTCTAGGCTTTTCAAAAGAGATGACATCAACTCCTGTAGGACTTAGGAACCACAAGTAGATTGTCAGCATCTGTGAAAAAAGTGTGGAAAACAAACTACAATAAGTAATTGTGCAAACTCATTAAAATTATATTCCTGCAGAGATTCTGAAACAACTCAAATTTTGCCTCAGCCAAGTTACTTTAAACACAATAAGCAGCAAATTATTAGTAGTACTGCTAAGCTTCAAGTCTTGTAGTTGAATAGAATATATAGTGTTAATATAATTCAAGACTCACATTTTTGGTATAGCAAGTTGTCCAGAATCAGCCCAACAAATGTCTGTTCCTCTGTTTCTGCTGTCTGGGAGAAAGGCTCATAATACCTGCAGAATTGAGCGAGGAACATCATTATAAAAACTGTTATTCGGGTATTCAAAGACAAATCAAACTAAAAACTGGACACATGCCCATATCCGGGGTGGGGTGGGTGGGTGGTGGGGCGGTTCGGACGAACCCCCCACAGGGCTCAAAGGTTCTTTTTTTGGTCCACTTTTTATATAATGGTCCAAGATTTTCCTTTAAAAGATGGAATGATTTGTATCACCAGCGGGGCTGGAATCGTAGGAAAACTGCTCACTCTATCATTGAATAAAAAGTTATCTCTGATTTTTCCTTTGAAATCCTTTTAAATAAACGCAGGAAATGCCATTTCAGAAGGTTTATTTTTCAAAATTTCCCGGGGAAGCATACCCCCGGACCCCCCTAGGAACCTTGCACCTTCGGCGCTCGCCTTGTGCCTACGGCGCTCAGTGGCCCCTCAAGCAGTGGGAAGAACCACTCCATTCAAAATCCTGGCTACAGGCATGTGACTGTGAGTGATCGTACATCCCTACATACCAGCCGAGATGGAAGCCACAGCGGGGACAGATACTGATCCTCCAGGAGAAGCCAGGCCACCACGTGTCCTGTCTGTAGGGCTGGGAGGAGGCATACAGGGCTGGGTTAGCACTTGGCAAGAACTGTGAACTCTTTGTGTATAGTTTCATCAGGTTGGGAAGACACTGAGTAAAGAGACTCTTTCTACACAACCAAGTCTTTTCATTTCAAGTCGTTTCAGTGACCGTCTTTCACCTTCCTCACGGCAATTCTGACTGATTCACATTGCACTGTAGCATAGGTGTCGCTGCTATAGATCATTAGAAGGACTGCATTTCCAAATGTACAATATTTACATATCTACACATATGCATGGTTACAGGGAACTGTATCTACTGTACTTTTATCCAGGAGTAGAGTTTGAATTGTATTGTTTACCTGGAATGTCTACCTGTCATCAATGCAATTTATCAAACTTATAATGCAGAAAAGGCAAACCTACCTGCCCATGTTGTTGGACATTAGCTGTTTCTGCAGTTATCACTTCAAAATAGGTTTCTGTGGCAAGAGAAAAGAAGATTTAATGATGAAGGTTTGTGTAAGTCTTGGGAATTTAACTAAAGATTGAAAAGGTAACAGGTAGAAACTTGGGATGAAAGAAACTGACAACCATCACAAATCTAAAATCCCAACTCCAACCTTTTTTCTCTAACAGTCTGCAAAATACTAGGTACTATTGAGGAAAGTTGTGTAAAGTGCCTTTCCCAAGGGCACAAGATAGGTGACGGTAGGATTTGAACCCGGGACCTCTTGGTTCTGAGACGAACACATTACCACTACACCACATAACCCCAGGTTATATTATGTACTGGCTATACTGTGAATATATGAATAACACAGTTTTAACCTTGTGGATTTTTAAAGAGCTGTATAAGAACCCCGTCCACCCCAGCGATGGTATCATTACGCTGCCTGTGTGCTGCTTTACTCGGCCTCTTGTTCAAGTCTGAGGCTCGGGCAATCTCCAGTCCACACTGTCTGCACAGGAGGTACTCTGGGGAGGGGAAATGACAATGAACTTTATTGCATATTTGCGGCCTACATGTATATGGGCCAAATGCACTACGTTAGATAACTGAGGTAACCGTTATAAGAGGAGGAGGAACAAGTGCTACAAGTACATTGCACTGCTACATTGTATGTCTAACCTTATACTACAAGATCTCTCTTTTGAAACAAGCATGAACAAATTTAGTCCTGCTGCTGTATTCCATTTATAACCAAAATGGTGGAGGATTCAAATTATGATGCCAATGAAAACCAAAAAATTAAACCAAAATCAAAATTTAAGAGCTGTTGAGTATTGAGACTGATTATCAGGCTGTGGTTAGCCTGGGAGAGAGGGTGTAAGAAGGGGCAGTGGGATATACATGTAGGGGGTGAAGTTGTTATGTACAGTGGGGATAGGGGGATGAAGCAAGGGGAGGGGTTGAAGACTCATGCAGGACACGTTACCATACCCGGCTCTCCCCACTTCACATTTGTAATTTTTTGGGACAGCCCAATACTGTATATTCAGGAACTTTATTCAGCCCTATACGAAACGTGCACGGTGTAACATACTCCATAGACTAATGTTTACACACGTAGTCAATTAGCCTGAGTTTGTACCATCAAATCATTATCATGATCTTTATACCGTTCTGCATTTTTTGACAATAGCATCTCATGACCCGGAGAACTTTTGAGCACCAACCTTCAAATTCATCGTTTGCATTTTCTTCACAGAAACAGATGCGAACGTCGAGAATGTACAGAAAAAGGAGACAAGCTGCTAGGAGAACATTTCTCCCCGATTTGTCGTCTGCCATATTTGCTGACCTATGAACTGTGTTGAAAACCTGATGACCCAAATAGTAGCGGTTTACACGAGTTATCGCTGTGACAGTTTGCAGCTAAATCGCAAGGAGGCGCTAACAAGTGGTCTGCAATATGACCTATGACCTGTGCAGAAAACCTGATTACCCAAATGATACATTGTATGTTACACATACATGTTACATACATTTACATGGTCTATTACCAGTTTACATGTTGCAGCTAAACCGCAAGGAGGCGCTAATGAGTGGTCTGCAATTTTTGGTGATGACCTATGACATGTGCAGAAAACCTGATTACCCAAATGATACATGTTGCACAATGCACATACATGTTAAAGTACATGTACATGCATTTTACATGGTCTGTTAGTCCAAGGTTACCAGTTTATATGTTGCATCTTAGCCGCAAGGGGGCGCTAGTGAGTGGTCTCTGTATTGCTGTAACGTTAATGCCATAACCAGATAACTTGCGCAGTAAACTGCTCCCCGTAGCTCCTAGCATTATACACAGTCAATCAAGACAAGACATATCCGAAATGGGTTTATTTGATTAAAAAAAGCGTTCCAATTTATCATCTACTCCCACTGATTATATTTCCTAAGGTTGTTTCAAGGTGCGGCTGTGTGTGATCAGTGTTCAGTACCAAGGACAGGGTAAACAACTTTGATAAGATTTCAGCAATGTGTTTCGAGTTCGGATTAGATCGACTAAAAATAGAAATGCATCCTACACACGGTCTACAAATAGCGCCAAACGACTGCGATTACAATCTTGCATGAAAACTTGTAGACTGAGCACACGCACGAATGAGTTTCAAAGCTACATGAGTGAACGTTGCAGTCATTTGGAATACTAAGTAACATTGCAAACTAATTTATCCAGCCCTCATTTACGAAACAAAAAGTTATCGCTTACAAGCACGTCCATACGCCATAACGTTTCAGATCGACAGTCGGTCATATTGCGCTGTCGAGTAGTATGTGGATAATCAGGCACGATACGCAATGACCCTTTGAACGTTTCAGATCGACAGTCGGACACATTGTGCTGTCCAGTAGTATGTGGATAATCAGGCACGATACGCAATGACCCTTTGAACGTTTCAGATCGACAGTCGGTCATATTGTGCTGTCCAGTAGTATGTGGATAATCAGGTACGATACGCAATGACCCTTCGACCTTTCACTGCATTTGCTAACCTTTGAACTTTGGAAAAAGAAGCCATAGCATTTATAGGATGCGTGGATGAAAGATTTGAAGGTTTTTCTTCGCAAAAGCTTCCAGATTTGAAGGCATGGCGACGTCAGAACGCTGGAGGCTGTTCCAGCAGTCCTGTGAGAAGGAGTTAGGCCGCCGTCTACCGGAGTTCAGCGGCCTGAACAGCAATGAAGAACGGGCGAGGTAAGGGGTGTGTCTGGTTGCATTGGGCCGTTAAAAAAAAATAAAACATAGAGGGGAGGGGAGCGTTGTTCACATTGGAACAGACCCCTAGGACATAGGGGTGTTTGACATCATTAAGACTGCAGGACTATGAGGGGGGGGGGAAGCGTTAAGACTGTCTTAATATGGTTGGTGTGATGGTGGTGAGGGCCTGTATGAGGGGGGGGGGCAGTGATTACAAATTACGAATTACATTAAATTCTCAGAATTACGTTAAATCATGGAGTACTTTATGGATCACTTAATGCAGAGAGGTAACTGCCTTAGCTTTACCATTTACATAGAAATATGAAAACGACCAATTACATGTTATGGCTTTAATGTAACGTTACTGATTAAGAATTTCTGAGAGTACGTTGATTTTGGGTTGACTGCATTGACTGCCTACCGATTTATACAAAGATTTAAAAGGCCTGATAATGAAAAAGGGCATGCAGGCCCTCATAAGCCCCATTCAAGCCTCATAAGCTGCATGCCCTTTTCGGTAACGTAGAGCGTAATCGGCCGTTTTAATCCTACGTAGAGCGTAGACGGACCGCTCTAATTCAACGACATTGTAACAAGGTAATGAGGTAATCGAGAGATTTCCAGAATTCAGTGTAATACGTAGCCAGCTCACAATATTTAGCAGAGCGTTGTCTTTTAGTATAAATTGTATTTTACTAAAATCCATATTTTCCATAGATTCTGCCTCCAGTTGAGCTGCTGGGAAGGTGACACGCTGACCCAGCTCATAGAGAAACTACAGAGTCTCAGAGGGAAGGTGGGAAAGTCTACCGACAGGGCCAACCAACTCCGAGACAAGGGGAACACAGCCTACAAGGCACAGCAATTCCAAGACGCATTCACTCATTATACAGACAGTATCTCCTATAGCCCTGTCACACATGGTAGTGATGGTAAAAGGAGTGAATGTTTAAGCCTTGCGCTTGCCAACAGATCAGCGGTTTTGTTCCATTTACAAGAATACAAGCTGTGCTTACAGGATATCATAGCATCCATAGAGGCTGGGTATCCCGAAAACTTGCAGTATAAGCTTCTACATAGGAAAGTGTTAACCCTTTTTAAACTTGGAAGAAATGAAGAAGCAAAGAAAGAAGTTAAGGCAGCTTTAGAGGCAATAGAGAGAGCAGATATACCGGAGAATAGGAAAGAAGGAATGAGAAAGGAGCTTAAGTCAGCAGGAAGGAATATCTCAAAACAGGAAGGAAGTAAAGAAAAAGAAGGAGGTACATCTACAGAAGAGGAGAAACTTCCGGAGCTGCAATACGGAGAGAGTCACCAGGTGGCGCATGCCTCAGTTGGAGTTGAAATGAGACAAGACCCAGGCAAAGGCAGGTTGTTGGTCGCACAGCAGGATTTTGAACCTGGTGAGTCTTAGAACTTTGTTACGATTACAGAGAAACACATAAAATGAACTTCCTATAAGTTAAAATTAAGTACTTCTAGTATGAAGAATAGTATAATACAGTCAAACATGTCCAAGATGATGTCAAAATCAATGGCAAACTGGCCAATTCTATCAGTAGTTTTTGCTAGTTATCATAAAAAAGCTTTGTCCACACACTTGAAAATGATGCGGTTGTCATAGGCAGAGATTGGGCCATGGAAACATTTGATTGTTATCAAAATCTATCCAGTTCCATGAGATCTTGTTAACTAGAGGTAACCTGGATGGTGGTAACCTTCATTGACATTTTAACACATGAGAACTACTCTGTATCACCTGTAGGGTCTGTCTTGATTGTTGAGCAGCCGTATGCAGCAGTGTTACTCCAGAAGCACCACCCGACCCACTGTCACAGCTGTATCACACCTGTCCAGGTGCCACACCCGTGCAGGTGCTGCCAGTTTGTACAGTACTGCTCCAGGGCATGTGAGGAACAGGCATGGAAGGAATACCACAGGTGAGTGGGTTATGCAGATGAAATCACACCTGTATTACACCTGTCAAGGTGCAACACCTGTATCGCACCTTCCCAGGTGTCCATATACACCTGTATCATACCAGTCCAGGTGGAACAGTTGTATTATAAATACCCAGGTCACAGGTGTCACATACATCTGCATCACACCTGCACAGCTGTAAAACCGTATTAAACTGGTCTAGCTACAACACCTGGATCCAGGTGCAACACCTTTATTGCACTTTTTTAGGCGTGTTAGTACATGGACTTGTACTTTTACATGGACTGACCAAAGGCCATATACATGAAAATATAACATGGACTTGAACAGGTTACATGTAGGTGCAAATAGACATGAAAAGTACCTGCACAACTCCAGTCTTAACAGGTGGTATTTTGAGCCCTGACCCTGTGTCTCATCCTTCAGCCGCGAGTGCGAACACTGGCACCTGCTGCAGATGGTTGACACCTTCGGACAGCTGAGTCTCCGTCTGCTACTGACTGCCGCCGCAAGAGGAGAGAAGAAACCCCCCATTCCAGGAATGGAATCTTCTACCTCAGCTGACAACCCCTTGAATCAGGATCAACCTGAAAGCTGTGCAGAGAATGTCAACCCCAACTCTGAAGAAGTCAATGAAGTCCAAATAGGTTCCCAAAGCACTTCTGAGCAAGAAAGTGACTTGTCCGTTCAAACCGAAAGTTTGCAGACTTCTACAGAGGAAGTTGAACTCCACGGAGGAAACTACAGTTCAGTCTACAGCCTGATGCCCCACACAGAACACCACTCCGCGGAGCAACTGCTGACATACACGATGGTCGCATGTCTCATGTGTAAATGTCTGGGGCACGAGCTGTGTGTGGAGGTGGTGGAGAGACTTGGGCTGGAAGGGGGTGACTGTGGAGGGGTGGCAGAGGGGGGGAGCCTGGAGGGGGGAGTCTCTGGAGGGATGACAGAGAAGGAAGACTGTCTAGTGAAGATGGCAGCACTTCTGTGTCATCACTTGCAGCAGCTAAGGTGTAATACCCAGGCCATCTCTACCTTACAGGAGCAGGACTCGGGTAAGGATTTCACTACTCAAAATAATGTTTTATATATTCAATTTCATAGAAATGTTGTATCTTATCTCTTGAGTTATTTTGTTATTTCATGTTTTTCATTATTACGGTTAAATCTGATATCTTAGTATTGATAAAGATATATGAGACTTCTCTCTGAGTCTTTGCATGAGTGACTGCATGCGCTTTCTAACAGGTGTATGCTAAACATATTGTTTTTGCTACGTTTCCTCTTCTGTTCCAAACACTGACCTCTGACCTGGCCAATGACCTGATTTGTTGATGTCTCTCACCATGGTAACTGGTGTTGAGTTAAAAAAAATGTTGCAATTTTATAGTAGGAGAGATTTATACTCATGTCTAACCATTTGAATGTATTTGAGTAAGTAAAACAAAGCAGATCATATTCAAAGGTAAAAATTATGCATTTGCTTTGCAAATGTAATACCTTTCTAGTTATATTTAGTTTTTTTCCTGTGTTTTTGTTTGTAGTACATGCACATGTAGATCTCTCAGTAGAAGAAATGTTGTATTTGCTTTGTAACACTTCTTTCATATACACCATACCAAGAAATTCCTTGATTGTAGCTGTAACATAATGATTTTCTTCTGTCTCAGTCTCATTACTGGAGGATAAGCAGGTTCGACTGGCCACCGCGGTGTTCCCCACAGAAGCATTGTTGAACCACTCCTGCAGACCCAATGTTTTTGTCAGCTTTCAGGGGAAGACTCTGGTCAGTTATATTTCTTTTCTTTTCATATTCCTTCTTTTTAATAGGCCTAGGTGTAAGAAGCATTAAAATGTCCATAAAGGCTAGATTCTTTGAGCGTCAGACATACAGCTTTCCTGTGCTTCATTTACTTTTTCAAGCTTTTGAGAAATCTTTGAAATGCAGATTCAAAATACCGCAGAGATTATAAAGGACTTGTAGAGTCTAATTGTGTTGGTATTTACACACATTACACTAAATTCAAGAGCGCTGTCTAGTTAAGATAAAGAGTACATATTTGAACCCTGCTGCCAATGCTTTGAAACCACTTAAAAATTAGAACAAATTTCAATACTACTATTGATCAAGCACGGGACATTTTACCACGAGATATGAAGCTGAGTTCACTGGAAATTCCAGCGCGGTCAACCCCCGCTGGAAGGTACCATCACCGGACAGGGAAGGATTAAGAAAACCATATGCTACAAATTTGAAGTTGTTTTTGTAGTTTGTGAATGAGAAAGGAAGCTTCAAAATCTCCCAAAGATTCCATTTTTAGAAATGAAGTAGTCAATATACAGTATTTTGAATAAAAGTTTCTTGAAGTGCTATTTTTTTTTCTTCAATTTCAGATTGTCCGCGCTGTAAGTCACATTAAGGCAGGTGAAGAGTTGCTACACTGTTACGGGCCTCATGCCGGCAGGATGGGCAGAACAGAGAGACAGGCAGCCTTACTGGAACAGTACTACTTCTCCTGCAGGTAGGACTCTATGAATCAGTTCAAACTGTACCACCAAATTTTTGACTGTACAACTCCAGTCTTTGTCAAGGAATGAGCAGTAACTGCTTCTGTGACGTCACGTTATGCAGATGACACACGTGACTCGGTGAGCAGTGGATCGTAAGTTGCAGAAAGTCTGTGACATTACAGAAGCGGGGGATATTTTCCTTGACAAAGACTGCAGTTGTACAGTCAAAAATTTGGGTGAGTCAAATCCCTTGTGTGGGAAATACAGTTTAAAACTGCTTCATAAAAAAAAAAGACTTCTACCAACACAGATGAACGTTCAAGATAAGGTAGGACTCATGACAACCAAATCATGACACAGCTCGACCATTTCCTGTGTCTGACCTTTTGTTGTCATTCTGCCTGTCAATCTTCCCCACACCCAAGTGCTGTCAACCTATTCTGTTTGGACAAGCAGACACACAAAACCGGCATCTCAGCCACCCAAAACAATACCTCTGAATCTGAAAGTAAGGGGGTACAATGAACGATCATAAGAGAATGTCATACAAAACCGCATTCACTATTTGCACATATCAAGTTTTAACTTACTGATTTGAATGAATTTTATTTCAACCCATGCTATAATTGTCCTTTATACAGCTGTGATGCTTGCCAAGAAGAGGAAGACAACCCCGACACAGTAGACATCTTCTCAGCCTACAAATGTCCTTTTTGTAGTAACGCAGCCAAACTACAAGACCACAAGCTAACGTGTACATCTACCACCTGTAACACTCAGGCAGACACAGACAACATCAAGACAACATCTGAGAAAATACAGGACCTCTTTATTCAGTCTTGTGCTCTTCTTGAGGAAGGTCAAGTACAAGAAGCGGTCTCAGGACTGAAACAATGTCTCGTACTTCAGTGGAAGATTCTTCACCCCAGCAATAAGGACATAGCGCGTACCCATGATGCATTAGCGAGATGCTACGCGACGACCGGGGACTGTAAGAAAAGCGTGGAACACCTGAAGAAAAGTCTGTCCGCTGTGGAGCTCCAGTTTGGCGCCTGTAGCGTAGAACTCGCACACGAGCTGCACAAGCTGGCACAGCTGCAGTTCAATGGGCAGCAGGTTGCTGAATGCTTGGACACCATAGAGAGGGCCCTGTCCATATTTGGATGCCACTATGGAGACCACCATCCTAAGACAAAAGAGCTGAAGGCAATGAAGGATTGCTTAATAGATGTGCTTGTTTAACCATACATGGTAGAACAAGGAATCAGGGATTTCAGACTTTTGGAAAGTGTTTGGGGTTTTTTCTGACCTTCAAGTTTACCCCATTTCCTGTGTCTAACCTTTTCACATCCTGTCATTCTGTCAAATCCCCACCCATGTGCTGTCAACCTACACTTTCAAGATTAACACACAAACTCAGCCACCCTAAAACAATACTTCCATACCCATGAGTTATAACATCATTCTCACAGAAACTTTTAACATCAAGGCTAGCGCCAAAGAGTTAAAAGTCATTCAGAGCAAATATTGTGTAGATGTACATGTAAGATGGTTACTAGACGTACAATTTGTATGATGCTACAAACTGAACTGAAGTATCATTAGTAGTGACAGAAAGAATTCAAAAGCAAGCATTCTGGTGTTTCTATAGCTAGCTATGTATCTACACATGCATGTATGTAACTTACAGACATGTAGTGTGAAATGTTAGAGAAGAATGGAAAAGAGATGGACAAAATTATGTATATCATGCAATCTATGTTAATTGATTGTATGAATTAAAATTCTGGAATGATCACACATTTGACAGGTCCCTGTACTTTTAATAATTGTATTCCACGTGGAAAATCGTAACAGATTTCTAAGATGAACATTATAACATAGTACTTGTACTTAATGTACAAGAAAAATAATGATTGCAATCTTATAATATACAATACATATCTTACCTAATTGAAAGCCAACATACTTCTCATTTTTCTAATTGTAGTTTAATTTTCTGCTAAGAACCTCTTACATCAAGAGAACATTATCAATGATAATAAGCCATAATGTTTTCTTTTTAATGCATGAGTGTAGAAAGCACCAGATAACTGTTTGACTGTCAATATAGCTCACTGCCCAGGTACTAGTACATGTATAAGATAGGCAGGGTCCATATCACAATGTTTGAGGGGTGTCTATCTATACTTTATCGGGATAGTAAAAGCCCAAGAGACAGCTAGCCATCATATACAACTTGTATACAATGAGAATCAACAAAGTTCAACTTTATATATGGAATACAACATGTAATACACTTGTGTCCAAAATCCAAAACGCATGTTTGAAGCTAACCCTCCCCCCAGTTTACATTAGTTGAGTCTAGACAGGTGTCACATAACAAACATGTTATGCTCAACTTGGTAAGGGCCTGTATTTACTAAAACTAGACCCAAATAGCCACTACATAGAGTTTTAAGAAAACTCAGGCTTTAGTGTTTGTGCACTAGGTTCATTTATAACATTAAATGGTTTTGTTCCCGTATTGTTTTATACTTCTATTGTTGACCCTACATTGTGTCTACTGGATCAAAGGTCACGACACACAATACTAAGCCCTTGTGAAAATGAAAGCAGTTTGTTGGCCGTCTACAGTGCATGAAGGTTGTTCCAGCGCCCTCAGGAGCTACTATGAATCCGAGACACAAGGAAATTCTGACTGCAAACCTCCCCTTACTATGCCAGGACCTTACAGTCAAGTATGTGTTACCAGATCTTGTGGAAGAAGGGGTTCTACTACCAGCCATGAAAGAGGACATCATGGCTGAACCCACCAAGGAAGATCAAGTTGCGTTGTTAGTCCGTCTACTTCAGACGATGGGCCCCAAAGCATTCCACGGGTTCACCACAGTGTTGGAGAAGCACTACCAACACCTGGCTACAATCCTTCGTCAGTATAACGCAGGTTAGTTCAAGTTTTTGTTTGTTTTGTCTTGTTTACATTAACAGCTGGTTGCTTAACGTTTTTTAAGTCAAGCATGAAAAGCCTTCATCAAATATAGAGAAATATTTCAGTTTCAAGAGGATAGAAACTTGGAAGTTTATACCTTAAGATGATGTTATAGTAGAGTGGAAATGTTACTTAAAGTAGCAGTTTGACGCTAACACTGTTCAAGATATTCTTGACTGAATAAGATTGATAACATTCTACTGTTGTGTACACATGGAAAGGTGCCTTTACTATGTATTTGCATTATGCCTTGACTCACTTTGCATTGAAGTTCACTGCAATTGTTTTGCTCAATTCATATGTCTCTCAGTCTTGTACATTTGATTTAGCAGCTGATCATGATTGTTTTAATCTTTCGTATAATTGGTGTACAACTCGCTGGAACAAAACAATGTAAGGTGAAACTGATCATGAATTTGACCTTGAAAATGTATACTTGTGTTGTGAATGTTTTGTGCAAGTAACAGTACTACACTACATGTAAGTAGAGGTACAAATCAGTTGGTAAATTGACATTTACAAAATGTATTGTGACCTACACTGTGTGAGTCACAAAATGATAAGGCAGTAATACTATTTATATTGTGTACATGTATGCATTAAACTGTGCTAGGCAAACATTGAAGATAGATTTGAAATATGTGTTCAGTTCAGACTGTATTCTGTGGTTACTTATTAATAAGGGCAATCATGACTACATATAGCAGTAGCATACTAGCTAAAGAGGTTAGATAGATTTAATGTTGTGTAATTATAGATAGATACAAAGATACAGAAAAGAGAAAAGGTGATAGCACTTTGGCTGCACACCTTTTAAAAAAGGATCATTCAGAATCCAAAGGTATGATATGAGTTCTTGAGTTCCATCGAGCTTTAGCAGCTTGGGTACCATCCTCTGTATATAGTTACCACCAGCTCCCTATTGTCACTAGCTACTACCATGGACTATGGAGGATGGAACCCAGGCAAGAGCCTCGGAGGAGGTGATTTTTTTTTTTTTGAGAACAGGTAAAAATCAATGTGCTCGCAGATGTCGAACATAAAATTAAATCAGTGTGGCCTTATCATTCCAGATGTGCAACTTTTCTTCAACTTCGTGGCAAAGAAGGTTGGAAGAAAGTGGAAGGACCTTGCCCGTCAACTTGGGTTCATGGAAGCAAATATTGAAGAGATAGATGATCTACCACGCCTGCATGACCACACAGACCGCTGCAGAGAAGTACTGAAGAGATGGCACCAAGAAAAAGGCCACGATGCTACACTTGGGGTCTTGACGGAGGCTCTACAAAATGCAGAACTGAAAAATGTGTCCGATGACCTTATGGAGGGTCAGTATTCCAACTATATTTTTCAAAAGTCTGTTGCAATGATCTGTTAGATTTTCTAATTCAAAAATCCCAAATAGCTGCTACATACATGACATGTTATATATAATCATGTACATGTAGTAACACCCAATACATTCATAGTACTAATTAATTATGTGTTTCTCACTCTGTTTCTTGCAGTTCTGATGCTAACAAATACTGGACATCAGGACTCTACACAAAAACAGCAGTCCAAAGATGACACGTGCTTGCTTAGCAGATCCCTGGAAGGTACATATTATAGGAAAATATAAAGGATCTACGTATACCATTTCTGAAGTCAGTATGCTGACATAATATCACTTCTTGAAAATGGTTGCATTCGAAGATGGCGTATTTTGTAAAATTATATAATACCCTAGGCTACATGTATTGTAGAGTTTTGGAGCTAAACTCTAGATCAAACTTCTATGAAACTACAGGTGAAGCTGTTTGGATGCAAGATAGGGAGAGGGCGGAAACTTTGGAGAAGGATTCTGCCTTTTCAGAGGGAACCAATTTGTTGTCGGCACAGCCAAGTTCCGCCTCGCTTCCCATTGTTTTTGAAAACGAAGATAAAGGATGTGTCAAAGAAGGACAACAGTCACCCAAGAAACCGATCTCCCCTGTGAAGGACACAACTTGGTATTCATCACTATTTTCATGGACTCAGAAGTCAGGTTAGTTCAACTTCAGGTGCAAGATAAGAAATTGATATTACTTTTAAAATAATTAGGGTATAACAAAGGGTTAATGCCCCACATTGTTTAATAGATAAAGTATCCGTTTTAACACTACTGTTAGTGTCCTGTCCCCTGTATAGTGGTACGGTCAAAAAAGTGGTCTGTTATTCTATTAACTGACCGATTTTTTCATTTTTTCATTATTCACCATTACATGTATGGATTGTTACGGCCAGATAACCGATGGGAAATGGAGGCTTCTCAATGGTCAATGTATATGATGATAGAACATTATACAGCTGTAACAAGATTAATTATAGTTTGCCATCTTTCACATTGACAAGAGCATGTTGTCGTTTACATGTATTTGTATCCCCAGGTCGTCAACTGACCCCCCGAGAGTTGTACCACCTCTGTCGTACCCTGAATCCATACTGGGAGCGGGTTGGCTGTCAGCTGGGGCTTGACCAGGACACGCTTGACCGCTGTGCCCTGGACAACAGGGACAGCCCGTGGGGACAGGTTCACGACATGCTGCTGACATGGATGGAACAGTCAGGGGTGGAGGCAACTGTTGAAAAGTTGACTGACGTTCTGCAGCACGGCTTAGTAGGACTGCGGATTGATCTTTACTGGTTCTTGGTTGGTGAGTTGAGGATCACTTATAAGGCAACGATAATTTGATTTCGATTTGAATCAGATGCTTCTTGTATTAGACAACATTATGAAGTCAACAAGAAGACACGAGGAAAATTCTTTAAAATTGTACTTCTAGATTCATTGTAGATATCAATGACCTCAAATTCCAGTGTTAGATATTTAAGAAAGGTAGCAAATGCTTTAAAATAATTTTTTTTAAATTTGAGACTCAGCTTTTGGGTATCTGTGGGACACATCACTGATGGTAATTTATTGGTTCCTCCCTGAATAGTCAAGTGAGTTTCTAGGAGCACAATTTGATCAGGGTAGCTTTTGGGGAATGGACAACATTGTTACAGTTGTATTTTTTGTACAATGGAAAATCTGTTATCTATCTCGGCAGTTCCCTCAGACTGGGAGCTCGGCTACCTTGCCTGGAAGTTGGAGAAGGACCCAGCCTGGGAGCAGGCAGCCACGCAGCTGGGCCTCACACAGGAGCAGATCACACATGCACAGTCCTACTACCCAGACAACAAGCCTGCTCAGATCCACTATCTACTGCTGAAGTGGAAGAAGAGGTGCGGTGACGAGGCAACCCTGGATAGACTGTGTGAGGCACTGAGAAGCCAGAAAGTGGCAGAAGACGTTTTTGTATTCCTGACAGGTAAATAGATCAATTTGAATAGTGGTTATAATGATAATAATTATCATGAAAGTTCATCTGTCTTGGTAGTTACATGTACATGTTTAAAGTTAAAACTTTTGTTCCAACCAGCACAAGAGAATTGTTCTCCCCCAGAGCTTTCAACCAGCCACTCTGGTCTTCCTCAGTACATTAACCCAGTGAGGCTTGTCACAAATAAGCTCCCCTGAAGTGTAACGTCAACACTGGGTCAGTCTACTGAGAAAGACCAGAGTGACTAGGCAAAAGCTCTAGGTGAGAAAAATTCACCTGTGTTTGAGCAAAAGTTTAGCTCTGAAACAGAGGATAATGAATTTCTGAGTGTGATTTTTTTCTTTTATGAAATGAAGTTACATTTGCTGTGATGTTAAAACCATTCTAAGCTAGCATTTATAAACATGTATACAAATGATAACACAAATAATAAATGCTTGTGTTTTTCAGATCCAGACTCACAAGTGGTTACGGCATGGTACCTCGCCCAACTTGCACCTTCTCTCACCTCCTACTGGAAACAGCTTGTCACGGAGCTGGGCATGAGTGAGGAAGAATCGGAAGGGTGTAAGAACAGATACCCCAACTGCCCTACAAAACAAGTCCTGGCTGCCCTACTGAAGTGGAAGGGAATGCCAGAATATCAGTCTGCTGCAGCATCTGTCAGGAACTTGTGCCTCGCACTGAACAGGACCGGGGTAAAACTGGACATCAGTCTTCTCAGTAAGTGACTCTTTCCCCTCTTATGGCTGTACAATACCCTTCTTTAATTTAATACTACTTCTCCAAAATCAGTGTCCCATCTTATACAGTGGTAGAAATCCTTTTTTCAGTGTCCTGCAATATTGCATAATGTCAAAACTTTGTTCTGCTGTTCAGAAATACTTTCTGCAAAATTAATATGTCTAGTACACTTAAAAGTCCAGAACTTGAAACCCATGGCAGACAAAATTGCATGTTGGCATCTTACATGCAATTTGAAAAGTACATGGGAAACTACTTGTACATTGTATATTATAGAGTCAGTATATATAATGTATATAGTATATAACACAAAAGCTCTTGAACACCATTGAAACCCTTAAACCTGATTTTTCCAGTCAAAAAAATTGCAGGTTGCTCAATTTTTCTTTGCAATATTGAAAAGGTCTCTGCAAAATGCAGATGGGTATTTCTAACATACAGTCATATAATAGTTATAATAATAGTTCCCAGATTTACAATGAAACATAATGTGTTATTGTGTGAATTGGTATGAACTTACTTTTTCTGTTTGCCATCCTAACAGACCCCTCAGCACCAGTGGTGACTGTGTGGCAGTTGGGCACCCTCGCTGGGAAACTGAACATCATGGCGAGTGAGCCGGTGTGCCAGGTCCATCTGGGGCTGTCCAGGGAAGATGTGCAAACCTGCAGGGAAGGATCTGGAGGTGAAGTGTTTGTTTGTTTTGCATAAATACATGTATACACACCAGTTTTGTATCCATGTACAAAATGTTTCTTCTTCATGTTTCTCTCCATTTCGTTCCATTTTCTCCATTCACACTTTCTGTACAGTGTTAGACTAAGTACAAGCTGTGTAAAATGGACTGTAAGGATTGATACACTCACATTGAATGAACTCTTTTGATAATTGTGAGGTTGGATAGGTAACACAGGACATCTGGCTTTATTTCCCATCCAAGAGGCCATACATATACATAACCTATCCATTCATAAATCATTTTCACCTGTGTCGAAAGAGGAAAAAAGGTATAAAGTTGAACCTCTCGAAAGGGCACAACTTTTTGTCCTGATAGGGATTCGAACACAGATCCTAACAAAAAGACAAACTTGCCACCTTCAGGTGATGAACATCTCCACAACATGGCCATGCTGCTGAGGTGGCTGGAGATGGCTGGGAGCCAGGCTACTCTGGACAAGCTATGTGAGGGTCTCCTACAGGAGTTTGTGGATGAAGACAATTTCATCTTCATGCTAGGTGAGCTCAAGTATCAGTTAAGGATGACCCTAAACTTTCAGCTCCACCGACAATGTTACTCCATGCGAATGAAGTTTCTGAAAAAAAGTCACTTAAGAATATCATTGCATTAGTCATGTATTTATATGAAATTATATACTTGTTATCAGGAAGTCAAAACAATTGTAACAGAGGGGTTCAAGCACCACTAGTTTGTGTGCTGGTGTTGTAAGCTGGCTGCTTGGGTTTGGCACACTGGTTCGATTCCAGTGTATCTCGGGAGTTTTGGGGTTTTCCTGTTTCGATGCTCCTAGTTGTGTCTTGTAAAAATTGTAAAAATGTTGGTTAATTTTTTTTGTATATCTGTAGTGCCAGAGGTACCCCGACAACCCACAGGCAAGGAGTTGTTTCAACTGGCTGTGAAGCTTCAGACTGACCCCTCCAAGTTGACCCGTCTGCCCATACGGCTGGGATTCACCCACGACGATGACCAACACTGGCAGCTGGACATTACCAGCGGCCGGAATGCGACCCATGCCATGTTGCAGGAATGGAAGAAGAGGGTTGGTGCAGAAGCCACTGTCGTCAAGCTCAGCGAGGCTTTGCAACAAGAGGGAGTCGGACCAGACAAGTACTTACACCTTTGCTTCGAAGAAGGCAATGGATTTCTGGAGTACAGTTTGTAGTGTACTGTATGTAAGGCCAATTTGATTCATTAGTTTTTGTGTATTGTTGTCAAGCTCTGCAAGGCCTTGCAACAAGAGAAAGTAGGGTTTGTCACAAGTTCTTACACTTTTGCTTGAAAGGAGAGGGTGTGGGACCGGGAACCCCTACCTGATGATGATGATGATGCTTTGAAGAAAGCATGTTTCTGCAGTACAGCTTGTAGTGTCCTGTAATATTATAATTACATGCATAAAGTATCACCTCTTTGATTCGTTAGTCCTGGATATAAGGCCACAGCAAGTAATTTTTACGGATGACATCATCGCACGCATTAATTTTTGCCTGATTTGGGAAAAAAAGAGAAATTTTGTTGCCTTCTGACAGTGGTCAACATGCCGAAAATGGGCAAAGATGTCTGTTGCAATGCTGGAAGGTGGATGGCAGATATTTATGAAGAGATGAGACAAGAAAAGGCTCTGATTTAATGTTTTGTTTCTTACTTTGATGCAGTGATATATATGTGATGCTGGCTGTGTATATGTGATGTTCCCACTGAATCAAAACCATTTGTACAATGATTGAGTCAAAATTTAAAAATGTATGAATCTGGTTTTTTTCGGCCCGTCTTGTTTTTTTTTGCCCGCTCGCATTAGATTTGGAGTCTGCGGAGGATGTCATCCATAAAATTTACTTGCTGTGGCCTAATGCTGTTAATAAATGCACTGGACCTATTAGAATCCAAGGTGGAAATCCGTACCTTGGAACACAGTTTCAGGGAGTTATTATAGTCAAGTTCAAATTCTCACAGTCCTTTGTTTTCTTGTTGTCCTAATGCTTGATTCAGAATATAAGTGTAAATAAATACATTAATGTACATGTACATTTGTAGCTCCATTTAAATGTACATGGCATAATGTTATACATGTATACTGTGTAGATTATCTAGCAGCCACTATCTACATTAACTGTTAATATAATCATATGTTTAAACTTATAGGAGCCACTCAGAGACAGACACTATTTAGAAAGTCTCACTGAAAAAAAGGTTGATATGTGCTGTCTTATTGCTTCGTTTTGGTATGTCCAAATGTCTTGTTACTCTAAAATTTGTTTCTCAATGTACTAAACTGTTGTTTGTTGCTTGTATAGTATTGCTTTGCTGAATGATTTTTTTTTTGGGGGGGGGGGACTAACATTGCTCAAGGTCCAAAATATCTTCAGTTTATTTGCCTATATTTGTTGGGTTAAAGGCACTCTATGTAGTTTTTTGACAATACAAAAAGTATATTTTTCATTCTTTTCTTTACATAGTACATTGACTTAACCCTTTAGTATTCCAAAATCATACTCCTCAACAAAAAATACAACATCCTTGCTCCTTAGAAGCTTAGAAAACTGTGAATGATCTTCTATACAACCTCTGGCCAAACCGCACATATGGTACATTGTATTGTCCATTGCTAGTGGTTTGACCTACATCCCAGTGGGGTGTCAGTTGATAGCTTACCAGTTTCTGAAATACCTAACCGTTTACCAGATTTTTTATCTCTTTTGAAGGGATAATGACCACAGTTTATTCATGCCCAACAAAATACTCCAAGTTGATAATTATATTCCACCAGACCTCATGTGAAAGATTTGAGTGTTTTTCTAAGGAGGCTATATCTTGTCACATGTGCCCCTGTCAATCAAGCCTGGCATGCCGGGTCAATTAGCCACCCTAAGGGGCAACCCCTGTATGTTGTTGTTGTTGTTGTTGTTGTCCTGAGCAAACCGGTGGCACCGGGTACCCAACAAGGACTGTTTGAACGGACAAAATATACGTAAAAAATGTGAAATAATGACACAAATGTGTTGAAAAGTGATAGTAACTGTTAATAACACTGAAATTTAGTATAATTAGAATATTCCAAATTTTTGCGCAAAAAACTACATAGAGTGCCTTTAAGGGTTTACGGAAAATACGAGGCGGTTCACCAAACCCACTTATAGGCCACTGTACTTGGCCAGGCTACCAAGATAACCCACTTTAGGATCCTAAGTGGGGGTTTTGTCTCTCTTAGAATTTCATTGAGGTAAATATGGCTCAGTGCCAAACCTGGCTGTGTGTGGTAGCCGGGCCTGGCATGATTAAGCAGCGTAACGTTTTCCGTAAACCCATTTATTACCTTCGCCAAGAAGGTTATGTTTTCGTAGGCGTTCGTGTGTCTGTGTGTGTGTGTGTGTGTCAGCACGATAACTCAAGAAGGCTAAAATTGATTGTCTTGATATTTGGTAGGTGGATAGGTCTTCATGAGACGTGGAACTGATTAAATTTTGGGCCCCTTAGCAGCTTGTAATGGTACTGCAGCTGAACTTCCGGTTTTGATATCTCGTGATCTAGACATGCTAGGGTGACGAAATTTGGATGGTAGGTAGCTCTTGTGCTGGGGAAGAAGTGATGTGAGTTTGGCCTCCCTAGCGGCTTGCTCTGGAACTGCAGGGGCGTTAGTTGAAAAATATTTAAAGGCGGATAACTCTAGAACCGATTGATGGATCGTTGTGATTTTTGGCATGTAGGTAGCTGAAGTGATGCTTAACATGATAATATTATAATTATGCATATATTAATGTAATTTGCATAATTAATGAGGAAACTCTATAAATCAGCTGCATTCCATGATAGGACTATTCAAGCTTGTGACATATGTAATTGAGAACGGCAGAAATACAGGCAGATATCGATTATGCAAATGAAGACTTAATTTGCATAATTAATGAGAAAATGTTATATTTACATAGTGGTAACTGCCTGGAATTTCATACTTGGGATATTTGAAAGTTATGTGAAGGTGAACATAATTAAACATAATTTATTCAAATAAGGACCTCATTTGCATAATTTATGAGGAAATGCTATAATGGCATTCTTTGATAAGATAAGACTGTCTTCTGGTGTAGAATATGATCAACAGATATAATTGATGCAAATATAGGATCCTATTTGCACAATCAGGGGGATTAATCTATAATACCCATAAAGGCTAAGATCATTTGGCGAAGGTATGAGATCGTGGAACTCTAGTTTACTCATAAACCTTGACCGCTGAACCCTCTCAATTCAATTCAATTTATCATTATATCAACATGCATACTTCTAATATGTATATAATACATGTATATACATACTTCTAATATGAACTTAACATCCCAGTCATAACAAGTACCATTCTGATTATACATTCTGATTGTAGAGTTTGATGGACTGATATAGGGCAGAGTGCTGAAGTCTTTTTGTTCTGACTGGGCCGATGGAAATTTTTTTTTTTGTTTCTGAGAGAACGTCCAGTAGCTAATGATCTAGATTCAGGGACAAGGCCATGTAGGGGGTCACTGGCCGTCGTGTAGCATTTGTTTAAAGAGTGTATTTTAAGGTTACGTATTACTAATTAAAATATTTACTACGAAGAGACCATTGGATTTTGGACTAGGGGCACATGATATAAAATCCGGTACGTTGTACTTTTTTCGTGGCTTTGTACACTTTTAATGTTCAAGTAATTCGTATACTTTTAAAATTATACTTTGCAACAAAACTCCTTTGTCTTGCTAATATGGTTAAAGACTTTGTCATAGTGACACTGTCATATTTAGCTTGTATAACGTGTCCCCTTGAACTCAAATAGTAAATTGTACCACGGACGTTGCCCTTGATTGTACAGGCTGAACGACTCACTAACAGTCATCGACGGCTAGATCTCAATTTGCACAGATTGAAGTAGGTAAAATGTTACTTTTTATAAGCTTTTCTTTTTACATTCAGACGTCTACTACCCTACGTATCTAATTATGATGTTGGGTTACATTTTTTAGCAGGGCAGAGTTGGAAAGCCTGCCTTAGTACCATATATTCTATACGATTGTGTTTGAGTTACAATAAACTGAGCAGTAGTTTGTTAACCTAGAACAAGGAGCTTCAACAACGTCTGATAGAATGTCCTTGCCTAGCACATGTGAAGGTAAATATGATGCATTTGCTTTGCAAATGTATACCTTTCTAGTTTATACATGTAGCATTTCAATCACTCTTACAAAGGTCTGTCCTCAATCTGTTTAGGACAATGCTAAAAGTCGGGAGGCTGATAAATGACGCCCCCTTGCGATGGAGCGCCGCTTACAAGGAGTTTTACCGTGCGGTAGTAGAGTTGAGACTCTACGATGAATTTTGGCAGAAGAACGTCCCGATACCAACTCCTCGCCGCGAGGGTACAGGAGTCCGTGTACTCAGTATTGGGAGTGGATCAGGTAAGAAACTTCAAGTTGTTTGTCTATATAACACCCATCGTGTAACTCTTCTCGGCAAGCTCTCCAGGCTCCAAAGGCCAAGGGCACACCTTCCATTTTGGCGACGTCTCAGGAAGGAGCCTAATGGTACAGTATTGTGTACAATTTGCAAGAATTCTAGGAATGGTACAGGCATTTTGTTCACAGGAATGGAATGTCCACAGATATGTCCCTGACCCACATCTATTCCCACATTCCTGGAAACCTTTGGGAAGATCTGTCTGCCCCGGATGGCCCTACTTTCTGTGACCCCGGGGCTCGTTCACTAAGGGAATATAATTATGGTGTTTCTATTTAAAGGAGAAGTGGACAGCGCTATCTTGAGGAAGATCATGCAAAACCAAAGTAGCGTGAACTTGTACAGCAGAGTCGTGGAACCGTCGGCAGAAAGGCTACGGGATTTTAAGGTATGGCCTCTGAATATTTTGTTTAGTCGCGTCCCGATTGTCATTAGGCCTAGGAAAAATGTGGTTGTGTTTCTGGTCTACCGACCGACCCTAGAAAAACCGCCGACTCTTTCCTTTAGGCCACACCAATTTAATTCGCTGCTTCTCGGATTCGCCCGCTTTATTTGCGAAAAAAAAAATTCAGTCTCTAAATCAACTCCAAACTGCTCATATTTTGGCCCCAACAGTTGAAGGAAGTCCCTTCTCTTCAGAGTTGTTACATTTTTTTTTCATCTAACAATGCAGTAGTTGATTAAAAGTTTGAAATTTATTGTTTGGATTACAAATCAGCCTGGTAGGTTGACTTCATGGGTTCTAGCATAGCATTTGGGGTTATCATAGGATGCCTAGGTCTGTTTTTTATTTTTTATTTCATTTTTTTATCAGGACAAAAACAGGAAACACAGCATGAAACAATTTTTTCTATGCCCTACTATACCATACATCAAGGAATGATGTCTTTGCATACATTAAGTACTTTGTGAAGAATACTTTCCGTTACCGTCGGTCGGTTTGTATTCAAACCCTTCCATGCCGCGTCAGCAAATTATCAGTTTTATAAACATCCCTTTTCATCCTATCCTGTACTTTTTAAAACGGAAGAATTTTGTAATGTTTTTATAAATTATAGTTAATGTTATTCACAAAATTAAATGAGTGATATTATAAGGTGTTTCTTGCTTGAAAACAAAGCCAAACATATATCCCTATAGGATTTGGTACAACAGGACACAAGCCTCAGTACAGTAAAGTTTGACTGGCGCCAACAGACAGTGGAAGAATACTTCTCCGAGTCCGATGGTGCGAAGTTCGACCTCGCCCATGCTATTCAGGTTCTGTACCATGTACAGGACCACCACGCCACCTTGCGGAACATGTGGGAACAACTGGCTGATGGGGGCTACCTGTTTGCCTTACTTCTTTCGGGTATGTTGACAAAGTATGGCAATTCAATCTTTGGGGTGTAAAGTAACACATTTCAAATGATTGCTAGCATGCTTGGATTTTCTAGATCTGGT